TTATTATTCTTACTTGTCTCACTATGCATTTACTATGGTACTATTCCTTTACTGCAATTCATCCCATGTCTTATCTACCTATAGGTTAAAAATGCCATTATTCATCCAGTACTATGCTTATTATCTGTCCGTTTTGTTTTGTTTTTAGTCCACATATTAATAATAATGTTGCACAATGTAATGTCCCGCACACACACGCACATGTCCCGCACACACATTTGTTTATATGTTGAATGTATGTAAAAAAATAAAAATAAAATAAAAAAAATAAAGTGCTTTTTTCAAACTGATGACAGCTTATGGAAAGAACCTGTTAGCATATCTTGTGCCGTAGGGAAGAAGCTGAAACATGGCTTTTCCAGGGTCTTTGGCCTTTGTGAAAAAAGAGGAGCAGCCCTCACTCAGCTCTCATCATGTAAAAGATTACATGTTTTCTAATCAAATGAAGACAGCATGTTGCAATTTGAGTTGATCAGAAAGTCTTACTCAAACAAGACTCTTTCTGTTGGGAAAAAATCTAAATATTTATGAAACAACTCCAGCTTTAAGGATATTGTCGTTGAAATAAAAGGGTCAATGGCGCCCTCAGGTGGATGGACTTGGCATTCCACAGCGGTAGACACAGAGAAGTCGGGAGGCAGTAATGTTTAGTTTGTAATGGCAGGGTTCGAACATTCGTCCATATCTCTTTAAAAGCAATTTATCATATGATTGAAACAATGACAAACAAATAAGCTCCAAAAAACAGGATCAAGTGTTGGAAAAAAGTGAACGTATCGTGTTGGCATGTTATAAAAAAAGTTGAGCTTAATGGGCTACAAGAAGTTGAGGCTGGCAAGAAATCTCCATATGTATCTATAATATAAAGTAACTGCAGTGAAATAAGAATCTATCTTGATATATTGTCCACGTCTATGTATGCGCACTGGTGATGTTTAACTTCAACCTGATGGCTGAGTTTGTGGAGAAACACACCACAGCTGAGGCAGAGGAACCCAGCAACAAGCTTCCTTCATCTGATGCGACAGGTGTAGAAAGTAACCTCTGAAAGTAACCACCGTGAGCCTTTACTATTCTGAAGCTGTTATAAAGTCAAACACACACACACTTTATACACTGAGGCACAAGCCACAAGTCACTATTAGAGAAATTTTTTATCTTGTGCATACGGAGAGCTGAAAGGCTGAGTGAGGGTGGTTCTGTTATTTTCACTTATCTGTCTGTGCCGCCACGTGTTGGAGTTCTCCCCGGTGAATGAGAGGGTTGCGTCCCTCTGCCTTCGGGTGGGGGACAAGTCTCTCATTGTTGTGACGGCCTACGGGCCTAACAGCAGTGCAGAGTACCCGGCCTTCTTGGAGTCCTTGGGAGGGGTACTGGACGGTGCACCGCCCGGGGACTCCGTTATTCTCCTGGGGGACTTCAACGCCCATGTGGGAATTGCCAGTGACACTTGGAGAGGGGTGATTGGGAAGAACGGCCCCCCTGATCTGAACCCGAGTGGTGTTCAGTTGTTGGACTTCTGTGCCAGTCACAGTTTGTCCATCACGAACACCATGTTCGATCACAAGGGTGTCCACCAGTGCACGTGGCACCAGGACACCCTAGGCCGGAGGTCGATGATCAACTTTGTTGTCGTATCATCTGACCTTCGACCTCGTGTCTCGGACACTCGGGTAAAGAGAGGGGCGGAGCTGTCAACCGATCATCACCTGGTCGTGAGTTGGATCCGCTGGCAGGGGAAGAAGCCGGTCAGACCTGGCAGACCCAAGCGTATAGTGAGGGTCTGCTGGGAACGTCTCGCCAAGCCCCCTGTCAGACGGACTTTCAACTCACACCTCCGGGAGAGCTTCTCCCAGGTACCGGCGGAGGAGGGGGACATGGAGTCCGAGTGGACCTTGTTCTCTGCCTCAATCACCGATGCAGCGGCTCGTAGCTGTGGTCGCAAGGTCTCTGGTGCTGGTCCCGGGTTCATGGGAGTTCGCCCAACCTGTCCACATGTGCTTTGTGGATTTGGAGAAGACGTTCGACTGTGTTCCCCGGGGTGTCCTTTGGGGGGTTCTCCGGGAGTACGGTCTTCTGCTGAGGGCCATCCGATCCCTGTATGACCAGAGCCAGAGCTGTGTTCGCATTGCCGGCAGTAAGTCAGACCTGTTCCCGGTGAATGTTGGCCTCCGACAGGGCTGCCCTTTGTCACCGGTTCTGTTCACTGTGTTTTTGGACAGAATTTCTAGGCGCAGCCAGGGGTCGGAGGGGGTCCGGTTCGGAGACCACAGGATTTCATCTCTGTTGTTTGCAGACGATGTTGTCCTGTTGGCTCCAACGAACCAGGACCTGCAGCATGCACTGGAGCGGTTTGCAGCCGAGTGTGAAGCGGCTGGGATGAGAATCAGCACCTCCAAATCCGAGGCCATGGTGCTCGACCGGAAAAAGGTGCCTTGCCCTCTCCGGGTGGGTGGAGAGGCCCTTCCTCAAGTGGAGGAGATTGACAGGCGGATCGGTGCAGCGTGCGAAGTGATGCGGTCGCTGTATCGGACCGTTGTGGTAAAGAGGGAGCTGAGCCGAAAGGCAAAGCTCTCAATTTATCGGTCAATCTTCGTTCCCTCCCTCACCTATGGTCATGAGCTGTGGGTAATGACCGAAAGAACGAGATCGCGGATACCAGCGGTCGAAATGAGCTTCCTCCGCAGAGTGGCTGGGCGCTCCCTTAGAGATAGGGTGAGGAGCTCAGTCACACGGGAGGAGCTTGGAGTAGAGCCACTGCTTCTCCACGTCGAGAGGAACCAGTTGAGGTGGCTCGGGCATCTGTCCCGGATGCCTCCTGGACGCCTCCCTGGGGAGGTGTTCCGGGCACGTCCCACTGGGAGGAGGCCCCGGGGAAGACCTAGGACACGCTGGAGGGACTATGTCTCCCAGCTGGCCTGGGAACGCCTTGGGGTCCCCCCCGGACGAGCTGGAGGAGGTGTGTGTGGATAGGGAAGTCTGGGCGTCTCTGCTTAGACTGCTGCCCCGCGACCCGGCAACGAATAAAGCGAAAGAAAATGGATGGATGGATGTCTGTGAAAGCTGATCAAAAGAATGGATCTAGTGATTGAACCAGGCAGTTTTGAGAGAAATACGACAGATGTATTCTTCTTTATTCTGCTGAAGTCAGAGATTTTGTACTTATAGATAGATATAGATTATAGACGTCTTACTGTCAATACTAAATTTCATACTGCTTTTTATAATAGAGTTAGAGATTCTATATTGTTTTAGTATAGAGTTTCTTGTGTTGTGTGCTCCTCATTCCTACTGTTCTGTAACTTGTAATGCAAAACTGAAATTTCTCCATTGTGGGACAAAAAAAGGATCTCTTAATCTTCTGTGTGATTTTTGTTTATTTTACTAAAGTTGTGTAGTTTTGATGATTTTTCTCAAGGCTTTTATATCATGAATTATATTTTTATATTTACTTTACTTTTGAATGTGCTGGAAACGGCAGCAAGTCCTAAGTAGCTTTGAAACAGTTGTTGTTTTGTTCTTTACAATTGTTATTTTTATTACTTTTTTCTGCCTGAGATGTTGCTGCAGCACTATCTTGGCAAGGCAAGGCAAGGCAAGTTTATTTGTATAGCACAATTCATACACAAGGCAACTCAAAGTGCTGAACAAGATAGCATTAAAATCATAAATAATTACAGAACATTAAAACGAAAGATAAAAATATAAAATCCCTCAGTTGTATGCACAGCTAAACAGCACCGTTTTTAACCTGGTTTTAAACATTGTCAGAGAGGAGGCCTGTCTCACATCTTCAGGAAGATTGTTCCAGATTTTAGCAGCATGAATCTGAAAAGCAGCCTCCCCATGTTTAGTTCTGACTCTGGGCACTAACAGGAGTCTAGTCCCTGTGCTCCTCAGAGTCCGGGCTGGTTCATATGGGACTAACATGTCACTAATATATTTTGGTGCGAGGCCATGGAGAGATTTGTACACAAGCAGAGCTGTTTTAAAGTCTATTCTCTGAGCCACAGGAAGCCAGTGCAGGGACCTGAGGACCGGACTAATGTGGTCGTACTTCCTGGTTCTAGTCAGGACTCGAGCTGCTGCATTTTGAATGTACTGCAGCTGTTTTACAGCCTGTTTGGACAGACCTGTGAGCAGGCCATTGCAGTAGTCTAACCTACTGGAGACAAATGCATGGATAAGAATCTCCAAGTCTGCTTTAGACACTATGTTTTTGATCCTGGCAATGTTTTTTAGATGGTAAAAAGCTGCTGATGTTACTGATTTGATGTGGCTATTAAAATTTAAGTCTGAGTCCAGTATTACCCCTAGATTTCTGACCTTGTTAGAAGGTTTTAGGGAGAGAGACTGTAGGTGACAGATGACGCTCTCTCTTTGTTTCTGGGGACCAAAGACAATCATTTCAGTTTTGTCTGCGTTTAGCTGAAGGAAGTTGTTTTGCATCCACTCACTGATCTGTTGGATACAGTGAAGGAGTGAGTCCACTGGTCCATGTTCTCCTGCAGTCAGTGAGACATAGATCTGAGTGTCGTCTGCATAGTTATGATAGGAAACTTTGTTTCTGCGTATTAACTGACCTAACGGCAGCATGTAGAGATTGAACAGAAGAGGTCCCAGGATCGACCCCTGTGGTACTCCACAGGTCAGGGCCATATGATCTGAGACACAGTTTCCAATCTCCACAAAGTACTTCCTGTCTTCAAGGTAAGACCTAAACCAACTTAGGGCGGTGCCAGCGACGCCAACCCAGTCCTCTAGTCTCTGTAAGAGGATCTCATGGTCGACAGTATCAAAGGTATCAAAGTATCTTCATGGTTTAACACTGGTCCAGACCGGAGCGAAGAGGATTTGTTGTGTGAACCAAGTGGATCAGGCGTAAATCCACTGAAGGAATGCTAACTGTTTGAAAAATGCTATTTTTTTTTACTTCCTGGTCCTGGTCTTGTGGCTCACCTCCTGGGCCAGTCTGACCTAGTCCTGGTATCGTGGCTCACCTCCTTGGCCAGTCTGCGGGCCTCGTAGTAGGGCCGTGCTTTCTCGATGCAGGCTCCCAGCGCAGAGCCTTGAGCGTTCAGCTTCCGTGCCGAGTCTGTTAGGATCCTCCTGTAACTGGAGCGTGCGTCCTGCAACAGTCACAACACACAATCACAAGGGAAAGTTAATCCATTCATCACATCTGTAAACATGTACTTGTGTGTTAGCATGTGCACATCTCAGGGTGCACAACACAGTCAGGTTTGAGAGCTAAATACTGACCCCAAGGAACTCTCAAAAGTATCATTTTTCATTTATTACAGGAGCAAAAAACATGGACATACATCTACTTACAACATGCAGAAGACAAGTTCTGAAGCTGAGGGCAATTTGAGCTGGTTTGCCAAAAGGACAGTTAAAATAACTTCCTTAACTGTAAGAAACCCTCTGTAGCTATTCGAGGACAGTCTGGATTAAGCCTGTTGATAATTATTGCTGTGTTCTCTTTGTCAGAACTCTTTAATGGCCCTTTACAGAGAGTGCTGTCCACTCGGCTGTGGTGGCTGAGTAGACAGCACTCTCGCCTCTCAGCAATTAGATTTTAGATTGTTGTATTTCCTTTACTTTCGAAAGCACTTTTTGATGCGCTGGAAACCTGGGTCGACCTGAGTTCGAATTCCGGTCGGAACAGGTTCTTTCTGAGTGGAGTTTGCATGTTTTCCCAGTGACTACTCCGGTTTCCTCCGGGTGCTCCGGTTTCCCCTACCACTAAAAAATGCTTAATATACTCTGGTCCTGACCAAGCCCAGGGTCAACATATGGAGATGGGTTCCCGGGCACTGTTACTACGACGACCACTGCTCCTGACAGACGCCCTAGTGGCATCAGGATGGGTCAAATGCAGAGAATGAATTTCCCTACGGGGACAATAAAGTTTACATTTCTGGAGGAGCCCTCTGCACTGGGGGCAGTGGTTGGTGTGGCTGCGGGGGTCGGACTCTTGGGCCTGGTGGGGGCCTGGGGCCTCGGTTTCGTGTCTCCTCTGGGTCCTGTGTCGTCCCCTGTGGCTACGGGCGGCTCTCTGCTCCTGGTGCAGACGGCTCCTTGGATGACGCTCTTTCAGCTGGTTGCATCTGAACCCTGCCAAGTCTCTCATCATGGTTCTATTGTTTTACTGGTGTGTGTGTGTGTGTGTGTGTGTGTGTGTGTGTGTGTGTATGTGTGTGTGTGTGTGTATGAGAGTTCATGAGCGCGTGTGTGTGTTTGTCTGTGGTTTGGGGTGGGTCTGTTGGGTGGTCTGGGGGAGGGGTCTTGGGTCGGCGGGATTGTTTTTAACCAAACTGTAAAGCACTTTGTGTTGCATCTTTTGTATGAAAAGCGCTTTATAAATAAAATTTGATTGATTTACATATATTTCATTTACTTATGCTTGACATAACAAAGAGTATGTGTGACTATGTGACCATTTCCAAAATGAACACTGTAAACCAAAATAGTTCTAGGTAATGTAGGCCGATAAGCATTCTTTACTTTCATTTATTTATTGCCCTACTATTGTTTGTTTTGCCTTTTCCCCAGAATCAGAATCAGAATCATTTTTATTGCCACGTAAGTAACAAACAAAAGTTACCACTTGGAAATTGTTTTGGCAGAGAGCGTGCCACGTCGCCATTTGCGGCGCTGTGCTTTTCTTTTGCTTTTTGTTTTTTCCCCTTGCAATGATGTGTTAACTTACATCCAACTATGTAGTAAGTTATAAGGCCAACTATTTATGAGCAGTTCGGGTTTGGGTCAGGACTATGACAACTAATAACAACAAATCGATCTTCACAAACTTTGACAAATACTATTTAAATCACACAGGGCATTAAAAACACACAATAAGATCACAAGACATCTTAAAAATATGAAAAAATCACACAAGTAGTTAAAAACCTTAAAACATTCATATCACACATGGGATCCTAAATAGCCACAGTGCATTAAAGAGTAAAGATAAAAAATAAAAAATAGAATCATTCAGTTAAATAGTAATGATTTCATTGTTCTACATAAGTGTGTGATGTTTATTATCTCTATCAGGATGTTCTCCAGGGGCATCACATGAGCTTTATTTTGGTGAAAGGTATAAAAATCCTGTATAAAATTGACCGGGATCTAAACAACTAAATGATTACTTACATAACTAATCACTGATCTAAATGATTGTTAATTGCAGCCCTGGTATTATACATATACACTCATGTGAGTTCATGTACGCTGCATATTAAAGTGTTATTGTTGATCATTTCTGTGAATTCTTTTGGGAAATTTTCCAGGTCAAGTAATGTTCTATATATATGTGTTTTAATGGCACTATTAAAAAAACTGTAAGCTATATGGAAAAGATTTTTTTTTAAGTTTCAAGATTTTTGAAACACACAACTGCGTTTCACATTTGTACTATGTTCACAAAGTTGATATTTAAAGATTCAGTACATGTGCTTACATCCAGCTGCAGCTCAAGTTTGTTGATCTCATCACTGGCCTGGTTCAGGTGCTCCAACTCCTCCTACAAAAAATAATTATTACAGATTACTTCAGCGTTCTTATTCAACAGTCAAATATTAAGTAAGTAAGAAAGTAATATTTATTTATATAAGTTCACAGGAGAACAGTTGCTTTTTGCGTCTACATGTTTTGTTTACGTTTAATGCCCAACTCTTGACCAATGGTATGAGGGTCTTAAGTGAAGACTCTCTTATTATAAGCAAAACAATGAATTTCACTTCTTACTTTAAAGTGCATGTAAAAACTTGTACTTTTACAGGTTTTACATGCACTTTAGCTCTTAGGATCCTGTATCAGAACTGCTCGGTTTCGGAAAAATATGAAATTGTGATTTTTCGGACAAATGTACTGTATATCCTCGCCTGATGAGGATTTTCTTTGCGATTTGAAATGTTATTAAAAAAATGTATAGTTTAGTATGAACAAAACACTTCAAAACAATGTTTTGGCAGGCATAATGAGATAAGGATTTCTCAAAAACTACAGGACAGATTGAGGTGATGTGGTTTGTAGATGGAATGTGAGGGTGGGAAGACCACATTATATTTTCAGACGATCCTGAATGCGCTTTCCAAGGGTACGTTGTTGTTTATGGATCAATTAGAAATCACTTGAAAACGTCCGAGGAGAGGCTTTATGCTCCTATACTCTGAGATTTACCAAAAAAAGGACTGTGTATTGTGTTGTGTGCACAGGTTTGTTGTCTTTGTGAAATGGTGATTGTGAATCGATTCAAACTAGGCTCGTGCAATGCTTTTGGTGTTTCCAACTGCACAAGATCTTTGTTGGGGCACGTGTAAGGTATACTTCTTAATCTGCACCGCTCTAGCACTTCAGTCATTGTATGCACTTATTGTGATACTTTTTTTTTGGATCTATGTTCTTCTTCTAGTGTATCATTTTGTACCCTTGCCCCAATGGGGCTGTGCAATACTTTGGTACAATGGTATTCTTGTGTTGTAATTGAGTAGACGTTGAGCGTGTCTTGTATGTTTGTAATGCAGTGGTTTTCTATAGCGTTTTACAAGACACTCAAAGAAGCTTCATATGTCATTATTCGTTTACTCCTTAGTGTTGGTGATAAACTATCACTATAGCCACAGCTGCCCTGGGGCACAACTAGTGTTCCCAGAAGTCTCCCATCACAGTACTAACCAGGCCCTGCCCTGCTTAGCCGGTCTTTAACGGAATCTGGCTTTTTCATGCATGTATGGCCAAATACAATCAGTTCAATACAGTTAGTGCAATACAAAGTAATGACATTATATCACAGTAACTAGTAAAATGACAGACTTTGTGGGTAGCTTTTCCCAAACCTGTGACCTGCTCCGACAGGACCTTTGTAATCAGTGTTTACTATAATAGATCCATGTGTTTATTGGACATTCCCGAACATTCTGGCCCAGAATAACCCGCCATCATGCCTGTATCCTGGGGTCCAGCTCCTCCTCATATTTGCCCTCTTCGTCGGCGGTCTTCGGCGGCTCTCCACCCCGCGCCTCCTCCTCTTCCTGCCCGGCTTGGCTCACCTCCTCCCTCCGCTTGGACACCGTACCACTGCCCTCTTTCCCCGGGGTCTCCTCTCGCATACACGCCGCCTGTGGAGCCCCGGAGCTGGCGGAGCAGTCACGGCCACAGCCAGGCTCCATGTGGGGGGATGTGTCGCTCCTCCGTGATGAAGGATAGACTCAGGCTGAGAAGGACGAGGGGCTGGTGTGTGTGTGGGGAATGAAAGCCTAGGTTCACATGATGGGAGCCCGTGTTGTGGATGTAGCAGGTTAGCTGTTAGCCTAGCATCAGCATCAGCATCACTGTGGTGTGGGCGGTGCCTGTTATTTTGTTAGAAAAACAGAAACCACGATTTTACTCTGGCATTCACCCATTGCAGATTGGAAACAACTTTATTTCTTAATACCAAACTACTCCACATCCATATTTTTCTATCAAAAAAAAAAGTCAGAATTGTACATTACTACCCCAAATGATAATTTTCACCAAATATCAGATTTTTCCTGTCATTAAAATATAATTGTTAAGGAAAAATATATAGTTCTAATAAAGGCACGTATACTAAAACATGTGCAAGTTAAAGAGTTACAAAGTTATAAACTAATAAACTTACTAGGACAGACATCACCTAAAGCCATGAGTACATTTCCAAACCTCAAAACAAATGTAAAACCTACCTCTAACTTGGTCCTGGCTCTCAAAACAGTTAAATTCTATTGCTACCATGCATTTATTTTTGACACCCATCCCATCCTTAATTTTTTTAGTTTTTTTAGACAGAAATGTGATCAGGTCTTAGTGCATATGACAAATAATGACTGACAGGGCTCTTTCTTTCAAGTATGTAGATTATTACATGTTTTCTAAAACAGATGAAGACAGCTTGTGGTCTGATTTGTTCACATTTCTTTACTAACAAAAATGGCCAAAACTAAATGTGTAGACAGAAGCGGTGGAGATTTTGTTATTAATGTGGATGGATTTATATTGTATGTTTCCTTTAAGCCTGCCTGGGTGAGCGTGTTACTATATAATTGATAACAAAAAAAAGACACAAAATCCCAGAGTTTCATTTCTAGAAAAAATTTAATACAAAAATCTTTTTACAAACATAATGTTTTTGTGGTGCTACGTGTTGCGCTGTCGTTTCCAGAATCTCTTGACTTCACTGTGTCCCTGATGTGATACCACCATGACCCTGTGGGGGGCGTCCTGCCACAGCAGACAGCCCAGGCCCTGCAGAGGTTTGCACAGTGTTAGTCAAGACACCGTCAGTACAGGAACTCCAGGACTCTATAGTATTAGTCAAGTAGAAGTATAGAAGTCAAATAAACAATTTACACATTTAAGTATACGATTTCATGAAAAATTTAGTGTCAAACTTCTATGAGGTACATTTAGAACCAATATTTTCAAATCATGTTTAGAAAACCCTGACAGGGACTCATTTTCCAAAAACGTCACTAGAGAAAATTCATTTTAAGACCATTTGTAATATCTCAAAAGATACTTTAGATTTAGTGTGCAAGATGTGTCCACAGCTCAGGTCAGCAACAGCAAAGAGGGAGTCAGACAGTTTTGGTCATTGATTCTCTTTACAGTGATTGTAATGCACTTTTAATGTCATTAAGGCTGTAGTTAATACAAAGAAGGTGCACAGGTGAACCCATACCAAAGCCTGGAATAAAGCCTTGTAAAATCTTTAGCCTGGATCAACTAAGCCACAGTCTGCATACAGAGGCGGCAAGAGTCTTGCAGTGTGGTACATTTCTTGCATTATTTTTTGTTTAAAATGACTGGATTTCTTCCATATATCTTGGTCATGTGATGGCAAAGCAGTGATGAGAGCAGTGTGTTCCTCTGTATGCACTCGAGGCAGAAGGATCCTGCACGCTGCAGCTGCAGATCCCTGCTGTAAATGACTGGTGAACTACAGTTGTCCTGATGAAGACTATGCTCCTAACACATGAATCCAATCCAATCTTCCCTCAACAGGATCTTTGAAGAGCACCTGATCTTTTATCACTGATCACTAGGATCTGGCTGAAGTTCCGACAAAAACCTTTTTTGTTGCAAAAAGTGAACATTTTAATTTATCCATAACTCTGCTCAGCTTCCTGTAAATAACAATGTCACAATCTGTGGTTTTGTGCAAAACTATACATCATATTTAACTTAGGTGTCAGTCCAACAGAAAACCAAAAGAATGTAGTTTTCAAGTCTGTAACAGTGCTGTAGTCTGTACCTGTGCTCGGTCTCGCAGCATCTCAAAGTCGACCTGTGAGAGGAACTGGTTGTAGAGCACTCCTGTGGACACATGAGCGAACGTTTACATCCAAAGGCGAGGATTCACAATTCCGAGATTTTATTGTCAATTAATCTTCCTGTGAAGCTAGGCAAGGCAAGGCAAGTTTATTTGTATAGCACAATTTCATACACAAGGCAACTCAAAGTGCTGAACAAAATAATAATAATAATGCCTGTGTATAGTGCTGAACAAAATAAGATAGCATTAATATACATATGGTTTCTCTTATTCTTGATTATGGAGTGGGGGCGTGGGGCGCGAGAGCACAGGGAGGGTAGGCGAGGGAGGGAGTTATTTGATCGGTTTTGGCCTTGTGAATAAAATTTGTCTTCTCCTTGAAGGCATCAATTTAAAGAGACTGTGTACTAAATGAGCATTATTCGATAATATTCATGATTATATTGGCACAAAGTAAATATAGAAAACTCATTTGACTTAGGCTAGTCAAAACTAACTGCATTTAAACAAAACCTCTTCCTTACATCATATCTTTCATGATTTGTCACAACATATCTCTGAATGAATAATGCATGTTGGGACAAACAAAATTATGTATTAAGGCAGAAAAGTTAGATACCTCAGCTTTAATAGTACATAGTTCTCAACTGTGGAGTAACCATGTAATACTTTCTCATACCAGTAGGTGGCAGCAGACAGCTAAGTACTTTGAAAAATAAGAATCAGACGCAACCACAGGATGTTAGCGAGGAGCATTGTAGGAGTAAGAAATGAAAGTGATGGAGACGTATTTGAAAAGGAAGTATGCCATTTCTGAACAGGATAAACATCCTCCGCTCTGACCCCGGGGCAGCTGTGGCCGTGTTTTACTGCTAACCGCTTTGACAACAGCTCAGCGAACACACATCCGTAACATGGTACCGAGCGTGGACCATAGCAGCGTGGAGGCGCAGACAGAACCATGGTTTTGTGAGTTATTATTTGACTTTTTGGGCTGGGAGTGGATTTTTTAGTGTTTTTTCCCCTCACAGTTAGTGCTACTTATTTCCAAATTCTTGTTAACTAATCGTATTGAGAAATATTAACAAGGCTTACTGTCAAGGTCTGGATTTAAGCTCTTCACAGTAAATATAGGCTACAGAGTATATATTTTTACATTTTCTCCTGGTGGTGTTCCGCAAGATTTTTTTCAATGAACAAAGTGTGCCTTGGCTCAAAAAAGTTTGAAAAACACTGGGATTGATGTATTGAGAACTGAAACATTGTACATTTTAAGTGGTGTTTGAGGTGTTTGGAGTGTGCGTACCCTCCGTGAACTGCAGCCGGTCCCTCTCCAGCTCCCACAGGCGGATCTGGTCTGTGATGGTAGGGGGTAGCACTGGGGTCTAGAGCAGACAGCAGCAATGAGTGAGTTTAGAAAGCACTCAATCAATTTTAATGTGACAGTATTGTCTGACTCCTGCGATCAAAGAAACGAGCCGCCATGATGGGTGACAGCAGAGGCCAAAGTAAGTAATTTGATGATGCGTTACTGACCAATAAACGCTGTTAGGAACACTGTCATAGAATTAACAATAATTATCTATAAGAGTAAGTCATTATCCTCAACACTTGATTCAAATACAGAACATGTTATCTGTGTTCTGCTTGCAGTAAGGCCAACTGGCAGATGAGCATTTTTAGTTTATCACCACCGTGTTTGGAGTGATGGTTCCAGTGAACCATTTTTTTTTTTTCTTCCCCTTAATCCATTTCTGGGTCAGGGGGGTGGCAGTCAGAGCTGCACCCAGTCCACTTAGCACCAGCCCCTCACTGATCCTCCTGCAGGTGGTGAGTCCACAGGAGCTGAGATCTTTCAGTGGGAGCTTCAGGCAAAGTAGGGTTAAGTGTCTTGCCCAAGGACACAACGACAGCAGTCATCAGTGGGAGTCGTGAAGTAGGTCTTATGGTGGGCTTGAACCCACGACCTTCAGGCCCAAAGGCCAATGCTCTACCAACTGAGCTACTGTCACTGGTTCCAGTGAACCATCTTGTCAAAAAAAGCGCTGAATAAAACCAATGAATTATTATTATTATTATTACGTTTTCTTCCGGTGTCTGGACCAGAATACTATAGGGTCTAGTTTGTTACTGATTATTTCATAACAAAAGTGTATTAGAGAAGTGGAGAGGGAAGCCTTGAGCAACTTGCCATCAATAAGGACTAGTAATTTCCTCTTTCAGGGCAGACTCCTTCAGTTGCTCTGCAGGTCAGATGAGGGTCCTTGGTCCTTGTTTATTGGTTTATGTCACATTTACCAATAAAAAAACTCACACTTTGATTGGATTACAGCTGTGGGGTCTTCAAGTTAATTTAATTGTTTATGCTTATAACAACGACATTATATATATTATATAACATAAAAGCATAGTCAACCCTGTTACAGGTAAAAAGCTGCTCAAGAAGAAAATGCTGAAGAAGTGCGTGGAGAAGTGAGGACTTCAGCAGGGTCTTGTGTCTTGTTTTAAATGTGTATATTTGTTATTGTTTGTAGTTTCATTTGCATAGCGTTTGAAAACAATTCTTACTACAAGTAGGAATACCTTGAAGATGGCTGCTCTGTTAACAAAGACACAGCCTTGGCATTTTAGTGGGGGCTTAAGTCAAAGTGGGGTTAAGTGTCTGGAGCAGGATCGAACACACGACCACTAGTTTTAAAGACCAGTGCTCTACCAACTGAGCCACTGTCACCCCCTTACTACTACTATATCCTAATGTTGTTATTATCAACACTGGTGCTCAGACACATCCGTCTGCTCAGTGGGGCGCATGGAGAGGGGAGCTTAAAGTATCAGGGCCGGTTATAAAAATCCCTGAATCTGGGTTTTTGATTGTCCTCCATTTTCGTCTGCTTTGTAAATGTGCTCAGAATGAACACTAGGGGCACACTGTTCATGTTGTCCTACCTGTTTGAGCATCACCGGGTGAGCACGTGTCCTCAAGAAGTGGATGATCTGAGGAAACAAACGCAAAACAATGAAAAACCGTTCTGTTTAGTTGTGCATACAACTGAGGGATTTTATCTTTTTTCTTTTTTTATGTACGGTGATAATTTATGATTTTAATGCCTTAACGTGTGATTGTGTTGATCCTGTTTTGTTCAGCACTTTGAGTTGCCATGAGTATGATTTGTGCTTTACAAATAAACTAATATCAGATGATTATCAAGGGACTCTGAGGCACGTCACCCCAGGGCACTTTCTTCAAGTTTCTTCAAGTATTTTGAGTTAGGATTATTCAAAATGTTGACCCTAATATTTTCAATGCAAACTAATATTGGCTCAATACTGTACATCTGTTATCGGCCTGCTTAGGTCCAAGTTGTTCTGAGTCGTTCCTTGCGGGTGGGTCTGAGCACAGTGATTAATCTGGACATTTATGGACAGTGGTCATCCTGCCTCCTACGGATCAATGGCTGCTATGTGTTTGCTTTTATTGTATTTCCTGCATTCAAAACTACTGGATGGCGTATACCATAGAATGATAGAACCGGGAAGCGCGGAGGAACGGGACTTTCTTTTGGATGGCTGTTTTGCTGTGTAAGCAGTAACCGGTGACGAAGACAAGGAAGCTTCAGGTTAGCCTCCTCCGCTTGCTGTGCTAACTCAGCTGTCTGTGCTAACGACAGACCTGATTTCTCAAGAAAATGGGGGCTAGTGGTGCGCTGTGATTGGTCACAATCTGGTCCCGAAAAACATTCTCTTCCTTGTTTCATCAAAACTCAATCTAAAATATAATGTCACGCCAGCACAACCGTAGGACGTATATCCCAAAGCACTGCATGGATATGGATAGCACTTTCGTAATGATTACAAAAATAAAGTCAGTTAGTGCAGCTTTAAGGCTGTAAAAAAAATTATTGAAGTGTAAGTACATATGTTGGTGATGGATCAGTACCTGTTGTGCGGTGATACCGTTGGCGATGGCCTGCTGCACAGACTCCCTGGACACCATGGCCACCACCAGGTTTGGGAAGCGGTACAACATCTCAGAGAAGAGGGCCACCAGGGCGATCTGGAGCTCCGAGTCTGGACCAGACCAATCAGAGCACAGTCAGATTCTCAGAGACACAACGAGAGGCTACAATGCTCTTGTCACCGTAACATTTGTTTGATCCTTTGTTTGATCATTTGTTTGACCATTTTAAATCCCCTGAGCTGATCCCCGGTTATCCTCTGAAGTTGTGATGCGCAACATGGTAATTTTGTTACACACCGGTATCGATCAGGTGTCAAAATAGAGCCGATGTGAGCAGGCGTATAATTATTTGAGTATTGGATGTGTATGTCGACTTAGATGTGAGTGTGGGGGCAGAGGTGTTTGTTTCTGCACAACCACATAAATGTACACGTCACATAAAGAAAGTGCTAAAGGCGGCAAAAAAAACTTTATATATTAGATATCAGTATCGGACATAACAGCAAAACTAGCATTGGTTATTTGGCCATTTTCACATGAGCGCATCACTGCTCTGAACTCATCACCAACCTGACTGTAAATAATGGTAATTGTCATGTTAGACCAGTGGTTATATAATGTTGTACATGATATTGTTGGAGTATACACATGGTGCATGCAAGTTTGCTGTAAAAAGAAAAAAATAACACGCCAAATTGCACACAATAAAATATGAGAAAAAGTGAGGCCACAAAAAGGAAAGACCAGTGTATAGCAGAGTTGTGCAACATTATTTTCTACTTTTCATTGTTTTCATAAACTGTCAAAATGTGTTGCACAATTCAGGTTCATGAGGAAGTATGAAAAAACAACATTCTAACATTTACATATATTTTACATTTTTGCAGTGAATCTTTTTACCAGAGGAAAATAGATTAATTAACAATACTATAGAACTGTAGAAACATGGAATGTCTAAGGGTCATGATGACATAATGAAGACCATAATGTCTAATGGTCACAGGAATTTCCCGGTGAGTAACGGAGTGATGGATAGATGGAGGGTAGGTAGGAATCTATCCGACTTATGATTGTGGAAGTGTGCGGACTTACTGGTGTAGGCATAGATGCGGTAGTTGGTCTCCACCACGATGAAGCCGGCCTCTCCCGTTCCAGGAGCAGAGCTGAGGGAAGAGGAGGAGGCTGGGGCTGTGCTGCTGGTCACTCCTGCAGCCAGGGTGATGGCCAGGCGGGTGGGGTAGTACCGCCGGGACTTCCGCTGTGGCCAACAAGCAGCACAAGCACAGACCATTAGTTCAAAATTGACTGCTGTCAAATTGACTGCTTTTAGTTTTGCAAGTGTAATTACTCATCATCTGGTCTTCATAACTTTGTGACTATTTCCATATGTATGTAGTTTATTTTTATACCATTATTTTTATGAAATCATCTTTTACATTTGTATTTACTTACTGTTCTACTTTTATTTCAGTTGCAGTTGTAATAACCAGTTATAGTGAGTAAAGGAAAAACCTTTATACATTACTTTACTTAATGAATCTGGTGAGAGACTAAGTATTTCTCAGAATTCCATTGGTTTGAATGGGAGCAGTCACAATGAGTTTCAGTAGTTTCAGAATTCTAGGAGTTCTGGTTTAAAGGAGCGCCAAATATGGTCAAATCACTGCGACATCTTTATTTTCAGATTCAGAAGGAGTTTGCAGTAAAAACAACATTGGAATACATGTTTAACAGTCCCCAGTGTGATCAGACAAGTGAGTAAACGTGCTATAAAGTACAATAAACAATTGAACAAGTCTGTGGAACCAATCAACAAAATCAGATTCGATACAAGTGTAAGATCTTTAAAGTGCTTTGTTCAGACAACAGCCGACAGTGGGCAGAGGCTATTAGCAGTCATTTACAATCTTCACTCTGAACAATATTTAATTTTCCTCTAATTCATCGGGCAATTTGCCGAAACGTAAAATTGTCCCATAAAAATATTTTTTGCAAGGACAGAGTTCTTTTTTTATTCATGTGCACAGGGAGGTTGTTTTTACCCCTCTTCTACGCACCTGCTCCAGCAATTGATGTGCGAAGTTCTACTTCTTAAAATTAGGAAAATGTCAGGGAAATAAAGCTTAAAAGGTGGGGTACCCAACTTTGAAACACTGGCTGTCATTATCTCACTCACCTTTCTCTGGAAAACAAGGCCAAACTCACGCAGATGCTGCAGAAAGGTGAGGAGGGAGTCGCTCATGCCTTCCACAGAGTAATCCTGTCAAACACAGGTACAGTTCAGTCACTGTAGCTCTGTATGCTTCAGTGTATCACAGGGAGAACTGTGCTAGGGTGTCCAAACTTCTGCTGTGACAATAGTCTGCTGGATCACCCCACTGGATCTACTGTAATCAAATCTAATCATAGTGCTGGAACAATCCCCCAAGTTTTTGGGTTTTTTGCCCCATTCCATGGACTCTGTGGGAGCTGTGCTGGAGAGAAGTATGAGGGCTCTCATGCAGGGCATCCTGAGTAACTCCAAACACCCTCTGCATGACACTATGGCCGCTCAGAGGGGCAACAGGTTTCTATCACTGCACTGCAGTGAGACATTCTTTGTTCCTTCGGCTGTAAGACTGAACAAAAGATCTGTCTGTGTTGAACATGTGACCTATTGCTAGTTACCTAGTTAGAAACTTGTATGTTTCTGCTGCTGGACACCTGAATTTCTCAGACAAGGATCAATACATTTGATTACATTCATTCTCGTATAGCCCTAAATCTCAGAGGACCAAACGAAAACGTTGAATCGCAAACACAGATCAGAGAATCAAACCGTTCAAACACAAGAAATGCAAAACGCATAGTACACATGGTATTGATCCATAAGGGGCAGATGACCAATGTCCTAAATGTTGATAACATGAAATAATAATTGGAATAAAGTACAGATAATGTATGACATGGTCCTCACCCTGCCCAGTGTGGAGAAGCTCAGCTGGAACAGGAAGGACAGGATCTCCACCAGGTCCATGCCCCGCGACTGCAACAAAACCACACAGCGCTAAACATGAACTCTTTTATTCCATTTACAATTGCAGTAATGCTATTCCTTTTTCTCCTGAATGGTTCCTACATAGTTGTGTTTTTGTTTGTTTCATAATGTGATTTTCTGTGAAGCATACTTGATGCCTCACAAATCAAATGTTGTGAAGAAACAGATTTCTTTATTCACTTCTACAAGGAAACGTAAAGATAGCCTTCATACTGTAAAGCAAAACAGTGCCTTCTGATTTGTTATTTCTGTTGAAGTTTTCAAATTGTAGGTTCCAATATGCCCCACCAGAGGTTTACCACTTTAGATCAGCATAGACCATTATAAATGATTATGCATGTAAATGCCTGGAATGAGTCTGGTGTAATGGCTGGTGGTGGTCAAAGGGGCCGATGGCACATACTGGTTGCCTCGCTTCTATCAGTGTGCCCCAGGGCAACTGTGGCTAAAGTAGTAGTTTATCATCACCGTGTATGGAGTGAAAGAATAATGACATGTAAAGCGGCTTTGAGCGTCTAAAAAAGCACTATATAAAACCGATGCATTTTTAAGTATTTTCAATGTAACCAATTCTATTGTAATCCCAGTAATTGTTATCAAAAATGAACAGACATAATTAATAATCGTAATTTTATTTTTTGAACAGGTTGTTTACTTCCTCTTATTGGAAACGACCAGAACATTATCCCAAACAGGATTATGTTTCATAATTTTCTGCTTTTTGTAATATTGTTAAGTTGCTTAGTTGTTTTTAGATCCATCCAAACTAATATCAGTCTCAGTCCTCTGATGTCATAGTGGTACCATGACATCATTCTATCACAGTTCTCTGCCTTTCAAAAGTAACAGAAGTATTGCCTATGAATTAGTTTTGGCAATTAATCAAGTTAAATGACGTTCTTTAAAATCGTATGGTTGGTTTTTTTTATTCAAATAAAAATAAACTTTTCTCCACCCTCTAGTGGAAGCATGCATCACACTTCACACTTGTTTCACCAAATATTTTCTATTGTAGACAATATTTATCATTCTACAACATGATCTGAGTAAATAGTATATGTGTGTCTAATAGTACCTGAGCACTCTTGAGGTACTGCAAGGTGAAGTACCACAGCTGGGAGGCTGTGTCCAACAGGAGGAACTGGAAGCCCGCTGAGGTGATATACGGAGCCTCGCCGTTCTCACTGTGGGACATTCTGGGTTAGAGGCCTGGAGGATCTGTCATAATGTGATCCACAAATGTCTATTGTGTTGTACAGATGCAAATTGTAGTAATTTAAAGAAAGATGTTTTATCTATTTCTAATGCATGCACTTCTCCCACATTAGACTGAGTCTGGTGTGTGAATGGTTGGTGGTGATGGGAGATAAAATCATTCTCTGTGCAGTGTCCCCGCTTATAACAAGAGTAAATAAGTCAGAGGCCAAAGCTACAAGGCCTCAGCTCCACAAAGTTCCCAGTTGTTTGTGCTCCAAACAAACTGTAAACAGATTTGGTTTCAATATTAAACTAGTGAAATTGATCTGATCAGATAGTTGAACACTGCCCGATCATGTTAAAACATGTATTTGTGAGCCAAAAGAGGTAGTTGACAAATGTCAATTATTGTTATATAATTATTATATTACCAATATATGATGATATTATACAGTGGGGCAAAAAAGTATTTAGTCAGTCACCGATTGTGCAAGTTCTCCCACTTCAAGTGATCGTCTGTAACTCTAAATGAATTACAAATTTTAGGAAATGTGTTATATTGACCTCCTGGCCTTAAATGTTGAGATAAAATAAGTCATTTTATTAATTCTAATATTACGGGCAAGTCCCACCTTCCCTGCTATTAGGTATAGCTCAGAATCCACGATGCCGTCCAGTTTAACCAATCGAGTCATGCCAAGGGCTGTCAATCATCGCGCTGATGCTCGCAGCTGCGCGCATGCTCAGTTGTTTGTTTTTGCGGAACCTCCGAATCAAGCTTCTATTAGGCTCTGGAACTTCATGAAAACTGAACAAAGAATTCTGAACATCTGCGCTGAGTTACTAATTTATATACTGAACCTATATCCATAGTCAGATCCTCTGCAGATGTGTCCCATAATGTGCAATTCATGATAATAGCTTCTTCCCGGTTTGCCGCGATCGCTTTTTTTGTGCATAAAAACACTATTATTTTCATTAAAACGTTAGCAAATAATTCTGAAAACCTCTATGCATGTGTATTAATAATGAATATGTATAATGTGTTCTCTGATTAACATTTAAAAGTGTTTTTTTCTGACAAACTCGAGACAAATCACTTTAAAATAATGACAGAGGTCTGTAATTTTCATCATAGGTACACTTCAACTGTGAGAGACAGAATGTGAAAAATAAATCCAAGAATTCACATTGTGGGGTTTTTAAAGAATTTATTTGTAAATTATGGTGGGAAATAAATATTTGGTCACTTCTAACAAGAAGATCTCTGGCTCTCACAGACCTGTAACTTCTTCTTTAAGAAGCTCTTCTGTCTTTTATACAGATCTGTATAAAAGACACCTGTCCACAGCCTCAAACAGTCAAACTCCAAACTCCACTATGGCCAAGACCAAAGAGCTGTCGAAGGACACCAGGAAAAGAATTGTAGACCTGCACCGGACTGGGAAGAGTGAACCTACAATAGGCAAGCAGCTTGGTGTGAACACTTATCAGAAAATGGAAGACATACAAGACCACTGATAATCTCCCTCAATCTGGGGCTCCACGCAAGATCTCATCCCATGGGGTCAAAATGATCATGAGAACGGTGATCAAAAATCCCAGAACCACACGGGGGGACCTGGTGAATGACCTGCAGAGAGCTGGGACCAAAGTAACAACATCAGTAACACACTACGACGACAGGGAATCAAATCCTGCAGTGCCAGACCTGTCCCCCTGCTGAAGCCAGTGCATGTCCAGGCCCGTCTAAAGTTTGCCAGAGAGCACATGGATGATACAGCAGAGGATTGGGAGAATGTCATGTCATCAGATGAAACCAAAGTAGAACTTTTTGGTATAAACTCAACTTGTTGTGTTTGGAGGAAGAAGAATACAGAGTTTCATCCCAAGAACACCATACCTACTGTGAAGCATCTGCTAAAGGGACAGGACGACTGATCCGTGTTAAGGAAAGAATGAATGGGGCCATGTATCGTGAGATTTTGAAAGGTGGCTGGGTCTTCCAGCATAACAATGATCCCAAACACACCGCCCGGGCAACGAAGGAGTGGCTCCGTAAGAAGCATTTGAAAGTCCTGGAGTGGCCTAGCCAGTCTCCAGACCTCGACCCCATTGAAAATCTGTGGAGGAAGTTGAAAGTCTGTGTTGCTCGGCGACAGCCCCAAAACATCACTGCTCTTGAGAAGATCTGCATGGAGGAATGGGCCAAAATACCAGCTACCGTGTGTGCAAACCTGGTAAAGACCTATAGCAATCGTTTGACCTCTGTTTTCGCCAACAAAGGTTATATTACAAAGTATTGAGTTTATTTTTTTTTATTGACCAAATACTTATTTTCCACCATAATTTACAAATACATTCTTTAAAAATCCTACAATGTGAATTCCTGGATTTTTTTTCACATTCTGTCTCTCACAGTTGAAGTGTACCTATGATGAAAATTACAGACCTCAGTCATTATTTCAAGTGGGAGAACTTGCACGGTGGCTGACTAAATACTTTTTTGCCCCACTGTATATATCATGTGTGAGTTCAAAGTCTATCTTATCCTATCACTATCATTTGACAAATGACAAATGTATGATCCTTACATATATGAAAGGATCATACATTTGACTGTTCCCTATATATAGGGGAACAGTTTAGTCATTAGTGTAGTATTCATGTACTACACTAACGCCACCATGTGGCGGACGTGAGCAGTACCTCTTCATGAGACCAGCCTGCACCAGCAGCTGGGCCAGGTCCTGGCTCACCGCAGCACTGGGGGAGCCCACCATGAAGTGCAAAATCACCTCCCACCTCTCCAGGGCATACTTGTCCAGAGACTCGATGTCCCGGGCGTGGCGATCCGGACCCAGGCTGCTGCCCTCATCCGCCCAGGCTGCACCCCTGCACAGACGCCAACAATAATATTTTGAGTTTCATAAATAATTCTTTATAACAAGAAAACATCTTTGGCATGCATGGTAGATATGGCCCTGTGAGTCACTGACTGACTGACTCTGCAAACGGAAAAGTGAAAACACTGATCGAAAGATGTGATGGCAAATATTCATGAATGTGAAAACCAGTGATAGAACCAAACTGACACATGAAAGGTCCACAGTGTAACTCTACATAGAACAATGTTGTGAGGTTTATCAGGTTTAAGAAAAGTAAGTAATGTAAGCAATGTCTCTTTATGTAGCGCATTTTACAGACCCAAAGCGCTTAACAATGTTCAGAGTTCAGATATTGTTCCAATCATTCCACACATGGTGATGACGGAAGCCAGTCGCCGAACACACTGGCGCATCAGCCCCCAATCAACACCATCCATTCACTCTCTCATTACATTCATACCTATTGTGCATGTATGAATCCCCGTGTCTGCGTAGGAGGAAACCTACGCAGACACGGGGAGAACATGCAAACTCCACTCAGACAGACCCTGTTCCGACCGGGATTCGAACCCAGGACCTTAATACTGAGAAGCAAGAGTGCTATCCAATCAGCCACTGTGCTGCCCAGAAAGACAGACTTTCCTCTCAGTTAACACATTTCAGAGGGTTCAATAGTGTGGTGTGTGATATTTATTCTATCCTTCTTCCTCTCTTGGAGCCGGAGCACACGTACCCTCCCAGCAGGGCGATCCTCAGGTTGTCCTTGAACACTGGGTTGAGGATGTACCCCTGCAGGCCGCCCTGGAGCTGCTGACTGTGCCAAAGACGCAGGCCGCTCAGGATGGACACGCACTCGTCATGGTCCCTGGTAAACAGCACAGTGTATTGAATGGGCTGGAAATGGCAGCAAGTCCTAAGTAGCTGTTTTATTTCATGGTTTTTTTCTCCCTGTAAATGTTACTGCAGTAAAGTGTTCATGGGTTTACACTGATCCATACCAGAGCGATGCGAGGATGCATGGGCCAAACCAAGCAGATCAAGGGTAAATTCACTGAGGGAATGCTATCTTTTTTTTTTTTAAATGCTAATAAAGCATTCAGCATTTTACTCTGGATCAGAGCAGAGAAAATGGTCCAAAACAAGCGGCAAATCCACCTCTGCAGGATGTGTGTGAAGGATGCGTTTCTGCTGCTACTGGACACTTGAATTTCTCCTATGGTGATCAATAAAGTATCTATCTATCTATGTGAGAGTGCGCTTATAATCAGTACAGAATACTAGAGTAAACATGTGTGGTGCTCCTTGTGACAGTCTGCATATGGCTGTCAACTACACAACAATGAACGTAGTGCAGCAGGTGGGAGAAAGGAGGGTCCAGGACCAACTAGGTCCTGGACCATGGCTGCCGCCCCCTGCAGGACAGAGTGACAGACTGATCCACCCTAGCTGTGTGAAGAACTGTACAATGAGACCTGCTGAGGCTGTACATGTATAATTTATCTGTTCTAATAATTCACTAGTCACTTTACCTGCTGGTATAATTACTGTAGATTTTTTTCACTTGTTTATCGGTTCATTTTCTCTGCTAAAGTACGATATAAAGCAGGGGTCTCCAACCTATGTCCCGTGAGCTACCAGTAGCTTGCCAGCCCCTTTCAGGTAGCTCTCCAAAGGACTTAGAATTTAACAAATGATCTTGAATGAATACATTTAGAGTCATTACACATCTATTAAGAGTATTAAAAAAGGATTATACAGTATTATGCGTTTTCCATGGTTTGTCCTAATTATTACATAGATTTTTTACTACAACTGCATTTGAAGAATATACAAACTCACTATTCATTAGGTCCAAATTGTTTAAATTAAAAGATAATAGAATTGCAGACGACATTAGTCATGTTTAAATGCAGCACTACTAGAAAATATACAAACACTGTTTATTGTTACGTCAGATAATGAAAACTCTGGGAGAAGGTTTGACTTTAAACATCAGTTTGCACAAACAATGTTAAAACAAATGTGTTTATCTGTTAAAAGGTGTAAAACTGGGGAATTCTCAGGAAAATGAATCAAAACGTTGTAAAAAATATCTTTCAATTTAAAAAGTTGTATACTGCAAAACGTATTGAATCATATAAACTTCTTGAGTGAGTGGATATATTGTTAAAATGCAAACATTTGCAACAAAATATAAATTTTTAAATGTTTTTGTTTTGTTTTTTGTTGGTGAAAATTGTACCATGTGAAAGGCCAGGGTAGATATGATTTTGAAAAGGGGCAGAAAAATATAAGAATTGTTTTCTTCTTTTCTGCTCCTTTACTTCATGTAAATGTTTAAAATATATATGTAACAAGTATTATGTGAACATGTGAACAAAGGATTTTCATGAAAGGAACAAATAAATAAATGCAAATACAATGCAATACAACTGCAAAAAGGAGTAGCTCTCTGCCTCTTCTTTTGTAGAAAAGTAGCTCTCCGATTGAAAAAGGTTAGAGACCCCTGACATAAACCCTCAGTAAATACCTCAAGATGCTGCTGACCACAGTGTACTCCAAAAGTGACGACAAAATAAACTACAGATATAGTTGTATTTTTTTGTAATTATTTTCTTATCCATTATCTTAAATAATTTATCCTATTTTATGTGTCCATAACCGGAGTGCTCTTATTTTTCCCTCTATTGTGCTGTAATGTGTTGACATTTCAACTATGACATTGAAATAAATGTCACAGACAGCTGCACTGTGAGAGGGGTGGCAGAATGTGAGACCCCATCTCTGCAGCGACCATCTTAAAACAAGATTAATTAATCATAAATGTCTCTAGTCTCCATGTTTCGGACACAGTAGAGATGGGGCTCATCTTCCTGCCTTCATTATTCAATATTTACCCTCATATTCTTAACTTGAAGTTGTTACACAGTTACGTTTTTTCGCTATTTGCTTTCATAAATAAGACATGTTGTATGTTTCAACTGAAAGTCTTGTACGAGTAAAATGTTGCGAACAAATCAGACCACAATTTGTCATCTATACAAAACAGAAAACATGTTTACCTTTTGAATATTTGTAAGAAGTCACTATTGAACTCTTTGGGCTGATCCAAAGGTGTGACAGATGGCAAAAAATGTTTTGAACTGAAAACGTACAACAGTTTTGTGGTTTAAATGTTGTTTTTGCTTGCACCATCGAGAAATCTAATTTAAAGGCAGAAACAAGGAGAGATTTACTTCTGACTGTCTTTCTTCACCCACAGAGCCACAGCCGCCTGGGGCAGAGGTTGATCCAGAAACAGCATCCGCATGACATAGTTCTTGGCCAGAGACGGCAGCTCCCTGTGGAGAGGAGAAGAGTTGTGACACAGGGGTCAGAGAGAGGGGCTGTGGGCTCAGCAAAGACAGGCTGTGGGGTGAGAAAGAGACAGAGAGAGGCAGAGACAGAGAGGCTGTGTCCTGCTTTAGAAAGATAAGATAAGATATGCTTTATTTATCTCACAAAGGAAAAATTTACATGTCACATTTGGCATGGATAGGAACACTCAAGATTGTGCAAAAGAGAGGAAATGTGCAAACATGTTAAATGCAGGATATATTATGTTCAATAAAAAAGGTGGCAATTTAAATAGTGTCAATAGTAGTGCAGGTTTTTTTTAGTCTTATACAGTGACTTAAAGTGACTTATTGAACAGTCTGAGAGCAGTGGGGATAATGGCCCTGCAGTAGCGCTCCTTCTTACACTGAGGGTGCCTCAGTCCATTGGAGATACTAATAAAATGATTTTGTAGAAATTGGTTTGAATTAAAAGACAGTCTGTTCGTTATAGGGAAAGGAGTTGGAGACTGAACTTAGGAGCATTTGGACTGAAGGCCGAAGACATAATTGTAATTGGACGCACCCAATATTAACTTTGACCAAAAACACCCCATGTATAATTTTTTTCCCTTTTCAACATTATTTTGCTCAGGTTTAGTGCACCCTTCTTTTGTTGTATATATGTAAAGCAAGATTCAAGAGAAGAGGGAGTTTGGACCTGTACACAGCCAGACATGTGGCTGGGTGGTTGTAGAGGCGGTCCAGGAGCTCAGGACTCAGCTCACGGAGGTACTCGTGAAGATTCTTACATTGCAGCTGCACCCGGAGCTTCATCATCTGCAAAGACGGGTCAAACCAAACACATTCTACTTTATTTCTTATTCCTATACAACACAAAGTAAGTTTTTTTGTGCGCAGTCTCACATTTTTATGCCATCATTACCTGCCAAGAACTATTGCTGAACTAATTAAACTTTTCTAAAAACTTGTTCATGTTCATTTACTTTTCTGGAATTTTCATACAATTGGGATCTGGAATTGTTTGGAAGTATATTGGGGGTAACACACACATTGGATTCCATACAAATCTATTTTGATTTTAAATCAATTTGCCGGTGGGACTTATTTCCAGTTTTTCAAGAGACAAGCAAATTTTCCCTTGGAATGAGAAAACACTGCTACTGCTTTCAAAATAAGCTTGTACCATTGTCAAATTTTGCTTTAAAAGGGGATATTATTACCAGTAAGAAAATGTAAGCACACTTATAAAAGAAAAATCATAAATATATGAATTCTCTAAAAAGATAACAGCAGTATCGAGTATCATTAATCCAACTGTGTCACATGCACTGTCCAGATGAAACACAAAGAATTTTGCTCACGACATTCAAATAAAACACTGGCCTACAGGGGACTACAGATACCGCGGTGAAGTTAGTTTGAAGTTGGATATCCGACAGACATTCGCCGCAACATTTAAGTGCACCCGTACTACACACAGTACGGTAAACACGCGGAGACATGTACGCTGGTCTAATATTTACATATAAAAAATCATTAAAAATACTTACAACATTTTAATGATAAAATAAGAGGTGTACCCCCTGTATCTAGTGGATGACTATGATCTTGACCTGATTTGGAGTCAATACACTGTAAACCCTGACAAGTAAAGTTTACTTGAAAAAACCATGGAAATAAATTGCATATTAACTTCACTTGAATTCTTTGAGTACATCCTTTACTTGATATTACTAAGTAAACTCAAGCGTTTGCGATAAAGTTTAAATTTCAACTCATGCCTCAACCGGGATTCGTACTCAGAACCTTGTAGTTGAGAGGTGATGGTTCTACCCACTCAGCCACCAGGTCACCCTGTATACGACACAACTGTTTTATTAAAGAATCCATCCATCCATCCATTTTCTTCCGCTTCATCCGTTGCCGGGTCGCGGGGGCAGCAGTCTAAGCAGAGACGCCCAGACTTCCCTATCCACACACACCTCCTCCAGCTCGTCCGGGGGGACTCCAAGGCGTTCCCAGGCCAGCTGAGAGACATAGTCCCTCCAGCGTGTCCTGGGTCTTCCCCGGGGCCTCCTCCCGGTGGGACGTGCCCGGAACACCTCCCCAGGGAGGCGTCCAGGAGGCATCCGGAACAGATGCCCGAGCCACCTCAACTGGTTCCTCTCGACGTGGAGTAGCAGCGGCTCTACTCCGAGCTCCTCCCGTGTGACTGAGCTCCTCACCCTATCTCTAAGGGAGCGCCCAGCCACTCTGCGGAGGAAGCTCATTTCGACCGCTTGTATCCGCGATCTTGTTCTTTCGGTCATTACCCAAAGCTCATGACCATAGGTGAGGGAGGGAACGAAGATTGACCGGTAAATTGAGAGCTTTGCCTTTCGGCTCAGCTCCCTCTTCACCACAACGGTCCAATACAGCGACCGCATCACTGCGCACGCTGCACCGATCCGCCTGTCAATCTCACGCTCCATCCTTCCCTCACTCGTGAACAAGACCCCGAGATACTTGAACTCCTCCACTTGAGGAAGGGCCTCTCCACCCACCTGAAGAGGGCAGGGCACCTTTTTCCGGTCGAGCACCATGGCCTCAGATTTGGAGGTGCTGATTCTCATCCCAGCCGCTTCACACTCGGCTGCAAACCGTCCCAGTGCATGTTGTAGGTCCTGGTTCGTTGGAGCCAACAGGACAACATCGTCTGCAAACAGCAGAGATGAAATCCTGTGGTCCCCGAACCGGACCCCCTCCGACCCTTGGCTGCGCCTAGAAATTCTGTCCATGAATACAGTGAACAGAACCGGTGACAAAGGGCAGCCCTGGCGGAGGCCAACGTGCACAGGGAACAGGTCTGACTTACTGCCGGCAATGCGCACGCAGCTCTGGCTCCGGTCATACAGGGACCGGACGGCCCTCAGCAGAGGACCCCGGACCCCGTACTCACGGAGGACCCCCCAAAGGACACCCCGGGGAACACGGTCGAACGCCTTCTCCAAATCCACAAAGCACATGTGGACAGGTTGGGCGAACTCCCATGAAACCTCGAGTATCCGATGGAGAGTGTAGAGCTGGTCCAGTGTTCCACGGCCGGGACGAAAACCACACTGCTCCTCCTGAATCCGAGATTCGACCATCGGCCGTAACCTCCTCTCCAGTACCTTGGAGTAAACCTTACCAGGGAGGCTGAGGAGTGTGATCCCACGATAATTGGAACACACCCTCCGGTCCCCCTTCTTGTAGAGAGGAACCACCACCCCGGTCTGCCACTCCATTGGCACCGCCCCCGATCGCCACGCGATGTTGCAGAGACGTGTCAGCCAAGACAGTCCTACAACATCCAGAGACTTTAGATAGTCAGGACGGATCTCATCCACTCCCGGCGCCTTGCCACCAAGGAGGCTGCCAACCACCTTGGTGACCTCTGCCAGGGTGACAGAAGTATCCGCCCCAACATCCTCAGCCTCTGCCTCCGGAGCGGAGGACGTGACGGGGGGATTGAGGAGAACCTCGAAGTATTCCTTCCACCGTCCGACAATATCCCCGGTCGAGGTCAGCAGCTCACCCCCCGCACCGTACACGGTGTTGGCAAAGAACTGCTTCCCCCTCCTGAGGCGCCGGACAGTTTGCCAGAATCTCTTCGAGGCCGACCGATAGTCATGCTCCATGGACTCTCCGAACTCCTCCCAGTCCCGGGTTTTTGCCTCTGCAACAGCCCGGGCCGCGGCACGCTTGGCCTGCCGGTACTGGACAGCTGCCTCAGGAGTCCCCCGAACCATCATGGCTCGATAGGACTCCTTCTTCAGCCTGACGGCATCCCTTACTGCCGGTGTCCACCACCGGGTTCGGGGGTTGCCGCCGGGACCAGCACCAGAGACCTTGCGACCACAGCTACGAGCCGCCGCATCGGCGATAGAGGAAGAGAACATGGTCCACTCAGACTCAATATCCCCCTCCTCCGCCGGGACCTGGGAGAAGCTCTCCCGGAGGTGTGAGTTGAAAGTCCGTCTGACAGGGGTCTCAGCGAGACGTTCCCAGCAAACCCTCACTACACGCTTGGGTCTGCCAGGTCTGACCGGCTTCCTCCCCTGCCAGCGGATCCAACTCACGACCAGGTGGTGATCGGTTGACAGCTCTGCCCCTCTCTTTACCCGAGTGTCCGAAACACGCGGCCGAAGGTCAGATGATACGACAACAAAGTTGATCATCGACCTCCGGCCTAGGGTGTCCTGGTGCCACGTGCACTGGTGGACACCCTTGTGCTCAAACATGGTGTTCGTGATGGACAAACCGTGACTAGCACAGAAGTCCAACAACTGAACACCACTCGGGTTCAGATCAGGGGGGCCGTTCTTCCCGATCACCCCTCTCCAAGTGTCACTGGCGCTTCCCACATGGGCGTTAAAGTCCCCCAGGAGAATGACGGAGTCCCCGGGCGGTGCACTGTCCAGTACCCCTCCCAAGGACTCCAAGAAGGCCGAGTACTCTGCACTGCTGTTAGGCCCGTAGGCCGTCACAACAGTGAGAGACTTGTCCCCCACCCGAAAGCGGAGGGACGCGACCCTCTCATTCACCGGGGAGAACTCCAACACGTGGCGGCTGAGATGGGGGGCAATGAGTATGGCCACCCCAGCTCGCCGCCTCTCCCCGCGAGATACACCAGAAAAGTGGAGCGTCCAACCCCTCTCAAGGAGTTGGGTTCCAGAGCCCAAGCTGTGTGTGGAGGTGAGGCCGACTATCTCTAGTCGGTACCTCTCGACCTCCCCCACAAGCTCGGGCTCCTTCCCCCCCAGTGAGGTGACGTTCCACGTCCCAAGAGCTAGATGTTGGGTGTGCGGACTGGGTCGCCGAGGTCTCCGCCTTCGACTGCTGCCCAGTCCTCTCTGCACCGAGCCGCCACGGACCCCTCTGCGGGTGGTGGGCCCACAGGAGGGACTGCCCACGTCGTCCTTTCGGGCTGAGCCCGGCCGGGCCCCGTGGGCTAAGGCCCGGCCACCAGGCGCCCGCTTTCGGGCCCCGACCCCAGGCCTGGCTCCAGGGTGGGGCCCCGGCTGCGCCATGCCGGGCGACGTCACTTGTTCTTTTTTTGTGCGATCCATGACGGGTTGTGGACTGCGCTTCGTCTGACTCGTCACCTGAGACCTGTCTGCCATGGGAGACCCTACCAGGGGCATGAAGCCCCAGACAGCATAGCTCCCAGGATCACAAACTCCCCCACCACGTTAAGGTGGCAGTCCAGGGGGGAGCATTATTTATTAAAGAATCTACACGTCAAAATGTCAAAAGTGAGGCTTACTTGAACAGAAACAGTTAAATTCAAAGAAAACCCTGAGTGATATAGCCAAGCTTTAAATAAACTAACAATGAATGAGTAATATTCACTTACTGGGAAAAATCTATTTAAAATAACTTTGATATTTGAAGTACGATTGAAGTTAGGGTTTACAGTGTAGGTCACATGACCTGGAAGCTATTGAGCTAAAATGCTTCTTTCTTCTCGAAAACGGCTTTACAGGATGGTCCAAAAGTCGGCTCTTGGCCCAAAGCTATGTTTTCCAGGGCTTTTTCCACACCTTTGCTTCCCTTTGCAAATTGCCTCTATGTCCAAAGTGTAGGCATTTGAAGTAAAGCAGGGGAGGGGGCAGGTGAGGTCTTACTTCATAGCTCATAAACCCAATAAATACTTAATAGATAAGATAAGATAGACTTGACACATCTATCTCCAAACCAAGTTGTCATCAGTCAATGTGCTTCAGTAACCTCTCTCTTTCTCTTTAATTTCATCTATGTTACCATTGTAGTCGCTTCCCTTGACTATTGAACCTGTCATTTTCTTCCTATCTAAATTGCTCGGTCTTCATTTGGTGCACAATGTTTTTACAAATAACCAATAATTAACTATCAAAAGTACCTATTCCAGATGTATTCCTTCAAAGACACGTTTGAGGATTAAAGTTAACTGTATTGGATTCCACTCACCAAAGGAGGCAGTTTAAGTTTACGTTATTTTTCCTCAAGGCCAACAGTTGCCAATTGCACAGTCCTCACAGTATTAGTACTTTCTGAGTTGGACTTATTTGAGACATCTGACTATCATTTTGTAATACTACCATTATTTTGTCCACTATACCATTGGATCTCATGAGAGAGAGGTTTTCCTTTTGCTATCCTAATAAATCAGCATATCCTCCTTTCCCGGTAATCACTTTCCTCAGACATGTCCTGTCCATGCACCATGGGGCAGCGAGGGGCGACTTCACCATCAAATATGCAAAACTGTGCTTTGGGCTCACACCCTGGTCCAGTCTTCTAGAAATCTTCTTTAACCGTAGACTGTACACATATGTTGGGGGAATGTGCGGTGCCAACTGGATGACATCTGGAGAGCAGCAAGATCTCTTCTCTGAGTGTATTTGGTATACTAATATTGTGAATATATTAAATGTGCAGTAAGTGATTTTGTTAGCTTAGCCGTAGCACCAACTCGAAACCACTTAGAAAATCCGATAACTCAGGTGTGGGCACTCGCGAGAAACAGGAAGAGGGTGAAGGGGGTAAACGCGTCCCATTGGTTCGTTGGGGATGAACGAATCCCATTTGTTTTATTTCGCTCCAAAAGAGTTTTTATTCATTTTTGGAGACTATAGGCATCTGGTCAATTCCAATACTATTTGAAAACACATGATAACTTGACTACTTTTAGTGTAAAGGGAGTTTTCCCACAATATAAATATATGTCTTCATACCAAGCTAGTAATCACTACTGTTGCATGAGTAACTAAAAAGTATCAGTATCTAAAATAATTATATGGCCACTTTTGCTACTTGCTTTGTGGAGATCTGACTTACCAAGACAGTTCTTGTAGTTGTGCCTGTGTGATTTTGTGTCCTTGTTCTGTTTTATTTTGTTTTTGTGATATGAAAAGTTTGATTGCAAAGCTTTCTGTTTCAGCCCACTCATTTTGAGGAGAGTGAATACTGTTACAATAAACAAACCATTGAGCTCCAATCTTTGAAGAGGCATTTTGTAACCCTAGTCCTATCACATGTATGAGGATTAGATATCTATATGACCTACAAGGTGGACAAGCGCACGACTCTACAAGGACTCTGATTGTGTATCCATGTTATGACTATGATATGCTCTGAGTGTCTCTGAATGACACGTACGTCTTTTGATGTGTGACGTAACAATGACTATGAAAACCATTTGCTGACTCTCTTCTGTCTGGAAAAACTGAGACAACTGGAATTTGAGAGAGACCTAATACACTTCCAGAGCTTTGGCGCGCCACGATCCGTTTCTGTGTGATTAATTTCCCACACATGTTAAGAAGTATATTTGTGTAGTTGATTGTGCTGTAGAGGAAATTTAGAATGCATTTGAGTACATTTTGGCCTCTGGATGGCGTCCTTGAGTTAATTCATCATTATAAAGCATACAGGCACACTCATCTGAACATCTTATGAAGACATATGTCTGGGCTAAGCCGCTGATCTCATCACATCCTAAAAAAGCCCCTGCTCTGATCCCTGCCTAAATATGGACTGACAACAAACAGGTCAGATTCATGCGATTTCCTATTTGCAGAAGATCTTTGTCATAATCCTGAAGTTCTTGTTTCTCAATCCCGGTGTCCCCCTCCTCTTCCTCTTCCACACGCACACGCACACGCATACATACACCAGACAGAGTGTGACCGCCCAGCAAGCGGACCAAAACACACACATCCCCGCGAACACATTCCCCTCCGAGGCGCGGCCCTGGATCTGACACTTGCTCCGTGACACCGGGACACGGAGCTCATCATCCCCCGGTAAGTGTGCGCTCTCCCCCCCGCGTGGACACTCGAGGTGCGTTCCCGGGTCCGCTCAAAGTAGCTGCTTGCACACGGTGATCGCGGCACTGCACACGGCACTGCTGTGGAGAGCCGAGCGCACAATGCAACGTGTTTGTGTTTACCTCCGCAGCGAGTGCAGACAGGGGCCACGGCTGCCGCAGCTTCACATGCGCGGTGCTATGTACCGGCTTTATGTCGTGTTTTTCCGACTGAATGCGGTGGAGGACAGGGAAATCATGTAGCCGTGACAGGGCCTCACACCGTCGGCTTGTGTCTTCTATTAGCCCCCGCTGACGGTTGGAGCTAACATGCTAACTAGCCCACACTATGCCGTGTGTGGAGCTAACATGCTAACATGCTAACTAGCTCATGTGACGGCTTGTGTCTCTTCCTGGGCGCGGGGAAATATTCACATGTTAGCAATGTCTTTTGGATCAATCTCCTACAATGTTATCTGACTAAATTCATCCAAAAAGAATGTCATCATTAATCAAATCATTGACTAAATGTAATTATTTAAGTGTATTTTACGTTTAATTTGATATCCCAGAGTCCACTTGTTAAATCGGCTGTAGGACGACTGCTTTTTGTAGTACTTTTTTGTGCTTGTATTTTCATACTTCTGTTATTGATCTTCACTTTTTTAAACGTTGGAAACGTGTTTGGAACATGGCGCAGATTAAAGTTATTTTATGTTTTGTATGGGCTTCTCCTTTGTAAGTTGATGGACCTGTTCTGCCCACACTGGGGAATTTCCAGTGTTGCAGCATACATTCATGACAGTAGTAACAGAATATACAGAGATAATTATATATACACGTGGCATTATATTCAATAATATATTATGTAAATTAGCAAGATATGGGGAAAAATACATTGTCAAGTGGTCATGCACTTATGAGCTATGGCTGTTTGATTAGAATTGGTCAGTGTTGTCTTTGACAACATGGGATGTGGCCTTTAGAGTAAGATTATGAAAGAATGTTGTGATGAGTGAACTGAGCTTGATGTATATTGAGAATTCCTAGGCAAGGGAAGTTTATGTATAGCACAAAGCATGCAAAAGGCAACTCAAGACTACTATACTTTTGTGTGGTTTTTTTTAACTATTGACCCCTTTTGCACTTAAAGCAGGGGTGTCAACCCGGTTTTCAAAGGTATTGCTTCAGGTTTTAATTCCAGCCACGCACATCAGACCTGAGTACTTGAATTGAAAACCTGCAGCCACACTGACCCTTTAAGAACCGGTTTGAAACCCCTGCTTCAAACTCGCTGCTTAGAGTTCCTTGCTGATGCAGGAGTGTCTACCAGTGATGGGTCAGGTGTAATGCCTTATTTTGAATATATTTGTCATTATATTATAGTTACTACCTAAGTACTTCGTTACCGGCGGCACTGGCCTCGGGTAAGAGGAGAACTGCACTACCAGTGCGGGCCTGTTGCTTACATCACGTTGAAGCACATAATTGAGATTGAGTTATACTGGTGGAGATTTGCAAACTATTTTAACTGTATCAGTAAAAAAAAAAAAAAAACGTTGCCGTGGAAGCCAAGCTTTGGGCGCGTAGTACTCAATTGTCCAGCACAACAAACTCATCATTGTTAAAACAAAACGCATCCCAACTCTGCTAAGGACAGTGATGATCCAGGATATCTATGCTTATTTCTTAACATTTCTGGACTCTGGTCATCCCGCTCTAGTCTGGAGCAATGGCTTCTATGTTTGTTATGATTGCCATTGATCCTGTGTTCAAAATTGTAACCCTCTGATCTGTTGTTGACTCTGTAAAGTCCTCTGAGACAACTTCTGTTGTTATTTTGGGCGATAGACAAATACATTGAGTAGAATAGAGCAGAGCTGAGCAAACATGGAGCGGGTTCCATATGAGGCCAGTGTTTTGTTTTTTTATGGCCCCCGGGCCCTTCCCCTGTTGACCTCATACTGCTCACTTAAGAGTAATCAATGATGGCTCAATGTTTCCCTCTCCTTTTTTATAGTTACTGTATATACCTGGAGGAGCCTCCACAGAAGCCTGTTTTGGCCCTTGTATATCCGTGTGGAGTTTGCATGTTCTCCCACTGTGTCTTCTTTCTCTCCCTTCACAAAACATGCACCACAGGTGAAATACTCCAGCTCTGGTCCGTAAGAGCATCTGCTCCTGGCAGGGGCCCGTGTGGCACTGAAGGACGGGTCAAATATAGGACACATTTCACTGAGTAAACATTAAATTAATTCTGGAGTAATACTTTAAATTTCCTTAGATAATGAATAATTTATGAAAGATTAAATAGTCTAACATTTGAACTCATTTGGACACAAGAGGCTAAATGGAGTTTCTCAGGGCTAGGATGGCTGCAGCTATAAAGTGCTTAACTTTATAGCTGTGAAGTTATCCCTTTATAGGGATAACTTCACAATCCCTAGTTTGGTTTTAGTGTGTGTGATTTGTACCCCCATTTGCCGACACCTAATTTCAATAGTTTAATGACAATGAATGTTTATTTAATAAAAATGCTGACATATTTATGATTTATTAGATTTAATAAAAGGTATCATATTCAAGTTATTTTGTTAAATCTAATGAATACAAGGGGTGCATCCCTTGTTGAAATTTGCATCCCCACCGGCCGAAACAGAATATGTCATCACCCCTTTATGAACCAATATTTTGAGCTCTGAAACATACAGCGAGTAGTAAAATACCCGTACGTATGTAATTATACATATATTAGACCAAAAGTTTGGACACACCTTCTCATTCAAATAGTTTTTTATTTTCATGATTATGAAAATTGTAGATTCACACTGAAGGCATCAAAACTATGAATTCACTCGTGTGGAATTATGTACATAAAAAAAAAAGTATGAAACAACTGAAAATATGTCTTATATTGTAGGTTCTTCAAAGTAGCATCTTTTCCTCTGATTACTGCTTCACACACACATGGCATTCTCTGGATGAGCTTCAAGAGGACCTGAAATGGTCTGAGTTCCCACAGATGCTTAGCATTTGTTGGCCCTTTCGCCTTCACTCTGTGGTCCAGCCCCAAAACCATCTGGATTGGTTTCAGGTCCAAAACCATCTGGATTGGGTTCAGGTCCGGTGACAGAGGCCGGGTCATCTGGCCCAGCACCACCACTCTCCTTATTGGTCAAATAGCCCTTACACAGCCTGGGTGTGACTCTACAGTCAATAGTCATGAAAAGAAAGGGCACACATTGAATGAGAAAGTGTGTTCAAACTTTTGGTCTGTACTGTGTATATATATATGTATATGTATATGTGTATATATATATATATATATATATATCTCCTTTCCATTTATCATATAATAAAGTGTATATTTTCACTTAACATTATTCTTTTATTTATGCCAATATGTGCTGTATTTGAATTACACTTAGGGTTAGGGTTACACTACACTATTTTGTGTTTATTCAGATTGCTTTACTAAAAGATTTCTATAACAGTATATTTCTGACCAATATATCGATAATCGTCATATCGTGATATAATCGTTATCGTGATATAATCGTTATCGTGATATAATCGTTATCGTGATATAATCGTTATCGTGAGCTTTGTATCGCGTATCGTATCGTGAGGTACCCTGAGCTTCCCACCCCTAAAATGCATTCACCTTCGCTGGAAATGTTCAAGTGCCAAGTTTTCATTAACGGGAATGCAGTAATCCAGACACACTAGATGTTTAGTTAGAATTAGTTAGAAGCCTACTACAATGAAGATCAAAACAAAATACTGTAGCAATGAAGAATTATCCTATACTGGAACGCAATAGTAGCTAAAGCACAAGTTCCGACCCCAACTTCAGACGTAAAACTTAAGCCTATAGCCTTCATATATTTACATTATTGTCAGCGTCTTCACTTGAATTTTAACTAGTACTTTGTCACTGTAATGTGTAGTGCCATTGTATACAGGAAAATATCCAAAAAGACATTAATTTAACTGAATTTATCATAAAAAATACTTTACTTTGGCATTCGCCATTGCCCAACTACAAATTGGCGCAAACTCTTGACGTCACAACACCTACGTCACAACACCTACGTCACAACACCTACGTCACAACACCGCCTCCACCCGCTCGCTACCAGAAATTTTATACCAGGGAAAATTCTTATTCCTGGTATATCCTGATGCATTTTATTGATCAATTCAAGAATTGGTCAAAAAAGATAAACAGACGTTTCCGCTTTCCAGGCCTTACCAGTGCTCCCGGCTCAAAAGACAGAAATGCAGTAATGCGTTCCTGGTCTGAATGAGTTAATATTGGAAATCTGACGACCATGTGTCAGGACAATGTCCAGAGTGTGGTTATGAATGTGAGTGGGTTCTTCAACATTGTCGCCTGTTGCTTTTTTCAGTTTTTTTTTTAACAGTAAATAAATATTGCACTTTTGCAAATATACAGAAGGAATTTTTGTAATGAATACAACAATATAGTGAGGTAATCCAGCTTTAAACTGTGTTTTGTTGTAAATGGTGTACTGTAATAATGAAACTGATAAAGGTCTGTTACTATCTCTGTCCAGAACATCTCTCTTTTTCACTCTTTGTCTGTCCTGATCATGTCTCTCTCTGTAGATCATGTGGCGTGGTTGCTGGACCATGGTGCTGCTAGTCAGGTTCGCTCCTGCAGACATCAGCAGTGGGACGTCGGACTGTATCCCAGAGTTGCCGTCTATGTCCTCTGTGATAGACCCCCAGAGGGCCCAGCAGACTCACCGCGCTCACCTGGAGGCGCTGTTCAACAGGTCTGCCCCACACCCACAGAGCATGTATGAGGCGTTGACTGACTGAGTGTGACATCACCATATTGTTAGCCTTAATGCAGAAGAAGCCGATTGGCACCAGCTGGCGTCATATGGCACTTAAAAAACACTTGACTGTCTAATTCACCTTGACTTAGATTGCTCAGCGGCCTTTTTGTTTTTTTATGAGAACACCTTGATTGGAGATGACTGTTGGAATTAAAAAATGTATTTAACAGTTCTTTTCCCTGTTGCCTCGGTTACTACAGCCGTATACCAAACAAAAAGACATCAGCTGCAACCCAGCAATATACTTGATCTTTCAGCGGTGGCTTCAGGTAAAGAAGGTTTGTATGGGGAAAAAATATCAGTCGTACTCTGATCTGGCCTTTTATGGATGAGTGGCAAGAAAAGCCATTATTTAAAGGAGGCCATAAGAACTCAAGTTTGAAGTTTGCCAGAAGTAATATGGGAGACCATGTGGAAGAAGGTGCTTTGATCTGATGTGACAAAAATTTAACATTTTGCCCCAAAGGCAAAACGTTATGTATGCTGTAAACCTAACACTGTTCATCGTTCTGAATGCACAATCCCCAGTGTCAAATATGGTGGGCGGAGCATCATGCTATAGGGCTGCTTTTCTGCAGTGGGAACTGGGAAGATTGTAAGAATAGCTGGGATGATTGATGGAACCAAAAACAGGGACATTTGGAGGAGAACTTGCTAGAGTCAGCAAGAGATATGAGGCAGGGCTGAAGATTCACCTTCCACCAGGACAATGGCCCTAAACATAAAGCTGAATCTACAATGGAATGTAATGGAAAGTCATTAATGCGAGAGAATGACCCATTCACAGTCCAGACAATACAATACAATACAATTTATTCTTGTATAGCCCTAAATCACAACAGAAGTCATCTCAGAGGACTTAACAAAACCATTGAAATCACCAACACAGATTGGAGAATCAACAGTTAAAACATAAAAAGAATACAGAACACATGTTGAAAAAAATGTCCATACATGTTGTAGAATGCTAAATCTTGTGGAGTGGAGTCATATCCTATATACAGTCGATGCCCACACCACACATACTAACCTGGCAAGAGCCAGATTGATGATTGTGTAGAACTCTAATGCGTTCTCCACAATATCAATCTGGGACTTCTGCAGGAGAATCCTTTTGGGGAAAGGAGGGATAAGCAGCAGAATACTTCAAGCTGATTGGGCGAAGTAACGCTGTGTGCCCGACTACCAAGGTTGCCGTCCAGAAATGCACAAAGCGCCTCTCACTGTTCATCTTTCAAAAAAGAAATTGGAGATTCTGCTAAAACTGACTTGATAGCCTCAGCTACGCGTCTGTCCTCCTGCGTAGCCATGTTTGTTTTGCTTCGGCCCGGCACTTCTTGCTTTTGTCAAACCCGGATATCCCGCCCTAAACCCCCAGACTGGCGCGTAATTGGCTTGAACACCTAGATGTTCTACTCGAAAAGGGTTGGCGGGAGCGGGGCAAGATGTATTCTCGAGTGTTTGTGAACTCACAAATACCGTGAGAATTCAGCTTGCAGGCAAGGTTACACACATACAGCCAGATACATAAAGGCAGACACCACCTTCTGCAGCTCCAGTCTCTGGGAGAAAACGCAGAAGAGAATGCATGGATGGATGAAATGATATCTGTAAATATAGAGGAAAATATTTTGAGGTTTTGACTCGGCTGTGACGTTTCTGTTTCAGATATGGGGAGAACGGCTCCATCTCGCTGGCTGGACTCAGACGCCTGCTGCAGAGTCTGGGTCTGGACCGGGTCAGGAACGTGACCGTGCAACACCGCGAGAAGGCAGGCCGCCATCATTATGGTCATCGCCATGGCAACCACAGTGACCATCACCACCACCATCATCACCATCATCACCACCACGACCAGGGCAACCACACAGACCAGCCAAGAGACGAAAACCAGCCATCAGACAGCAGTGACAACCACAACCACGTGAGCCACGACCACGTGAGCCACGACCACCAGGACCGCGAGGGTCACAACCACGACGACCATAAGGGTCACAACCACGACGACCACAACCCTGATGACCACAACCACAATAATGTAGCTCAGGACCAAAAGTCTGATTTGTTGAATAAGAAGTCACTAAATGAAGCTGGGACAAAACCAGTAAAGGAAACGTTTAAGAACCGTGGACCAGAAGCCACCACAGCCTCCGGAGTAAGGAGGGTGAGGCGTGAGGAAGACTCCAGCGCTCTGAGCTCCATCACCTCGCCGCAGGAGGAGACCCAGCCGGGGCACACTCAGGTGAGCCTCAGACTACACTGCTGTATGTGCTGGTACCAAGCCCCGGTGATCCAAGATGGCGCCCTATTCAAATGAATGGCTTGTGCTCAGTAGCGCATGGGACATACACGGGGACTGAGAGATTAGCAGAACTCACCTTTACTTGGGCATCGTCTGGTCCTCCCAGTTCTGTGCAGTGGACGAGCTCCCATGATGCGTTGCGCCATATGAGTGTGTGGCTCTCACGCACGTACACAGAGTGGCTCGGCCGCGCTCTGACCAATCAGAGCTGCTGACCAGAGAGGGAGACCAGAGAGGGAGACCAGAGAGGGAGACCAGAGAGGGAGACCAGAGAGGGAGACCAGAGAGGGAGACCAGAGAGGGAGACCAGAGAGGGAGACCAGAGAGGGAGACCAGAGAGGGAGACCAGAGAGGGAGACCAGAGAGGGAGACCAGAGAGGGAGACCAGAGAGGGAGACCAGAGAGGGAGACCAGAGAGGGAGACCAGAGAGGCAGACCATAGAGGGAGACCAAAGAGAATCTGCAGGACAGTGGAGCAAAAAAGTATTTAGTCTGCCACCCATTGTGCAAGTCCTCCCACTTAAAAAAACTTGTCTCACATAGAGAAAAAAAAAAAATAGAAACATAAAATTCTGGGAAATCACCAACAAACAGGAAAGATGTGAATTCCCCAAAGCATCACTGCTCTAGAAGAGATCTGCATGGAGGAATGGGCCAAAATACAAGCAACAGCGTGTGAAAACATTGCTAAGAAAGAAAAGACTGTCATTGCCTCAAAGGGAATTTATTGAGTATTGAGATGGACTTTTTATTGACTGAATAATGTTTCATTTGCAAATGAAGTCTAAAACAAAATGAGATTTTTTCATGTTGTCTCTCACATTTGAGGTTTACCTATGATTAATATTACAGACCTTTCATCTTTTGAAGTGGGAAGACTTGCACAGTTGGTGGTTGACTAAATACCACTGTCTGAGAGCACCTACTGACTACTCCTCCTCTTTACATTTGTGAGAAGTAAAAACATAGCTGTACACAGCGGTGACCTGCTTACAGCTACATTTTTGGCAAACAACCACTCAACCATAGAAAAGGGAACATGTCTGTCCCTGTTACGCCAGGAAGATCACGCCATTGGAACAAATGCCCATAAAAGAAATTTGTCTCCAGCATGCTTATGTTGAAGTCAGCGTCTTCCACATTCAGTAAACACTCTGGTTCCCACAGTGCCTGAGCGCCTCCTCCATGCTCTCCTCTCACGGTCTGGCCCCAGAGGCAGGACTGACCCTGGAGGACTTTGGCCTGCTCTGCCCCTCTCTGCTGGACCAGCTGGATCTAGGGGCATGTGTGCGGCACGGGGAGGCCAGCCATCACCATGGAAACCACAGCCACCTGGAGCATGACCACACCCCTACTGGAGAAAGCAGGAACATCGCCATCGGTACGCTGCACAAACATACATGCCTCCTTTTCCTTTCCTTGGGTATTACCTTTTATGAAATAGGGCCCAGGTTTCATAAGCACGACTTCAACGAGACTTGCTCTACTCTACTCTGGTCTACCCTACTCCACTCTACTCTACTTTTCTCTACTTGGCTCTTTTGCGAGAAATTGTTTTTGTTCTATTGTTTTACATTTGTTTAGTTTTTGGTTATTTAGTCAACAGCTCTATTTCTAAAAACAATTTTCCCTGTGTCTCTCTCTGTGCGTGTGTATGTGTGTTTGTTCTGTGTGTGTACGCAGCCTGGGCGGGCGGATTCACCTCCATCACCATCATCAGCCTGCTCTCTCTGCTGGGGGTGATCCTGATCCCCCTCATGAACAAGGTCTTCTTCAACTTCTTGCTAAGCTTCCTGGTGGCTCTTGCTGTGGGCACGCTGAGTGGAGACGCCTTCTTGCATCTCATCCCACATGTGAGTGAGAGAGAGACCAAACAGAAAGAGTCCAGACAGAAAGTCCAGACAACGGGACCAGACAAAGGGACCAGTCAGAGAGTCCAGACAGAGACATGGAGAGACAGAGACATGGAGAGACAGAGACATGGAGAGACAGGACATGGAGAGACAGGACATGAGAGAGACATGGAGAGACAGGACATGGAGAGACTGGACAAGGAGAGACCGGACAAGGAGAGACCGGACAAGGAGAGACCGGACAAGGAGAGACCGGACGAGGAGAGACCGGACGAGGAGAGACCGGACGAGGAGAGACCGGACATGGAGAGACCGGACATGGAGAGACCGGACATGGAGAGACCGGACATGGAGAGACCGGACATGGAGAGACCGGACATGGAGAGACCGGACATGGAGAGACCGGACATGGAGAGACCGGACATGGAGAGACCGGACCATAGACTGTATATGTTAACAAACAGAGTCATGCCTATTTCCGCCGTTCTAACTAATGGGCCAAAAATTCTGCTCTACTGGAGCTATCCAAAATGGCCGCGAGTGGTCCAGCCCACAAGAAAATTGTGAAAAAACGCATCTGCGGATACGTCAGCCGGTGAGAGCTTCATTCATTTGAAGGAGAGACTTCAAAAATTCACAGCAAGTAAACTAGTGTGGTCCAAAAAAATCCACCCCCCTCAGCATTGACACATGTGGAACGGAGCTTTGGGCCAAGAGCCAACTTTTGGTCCATCCTGTAAAGACGTTTTCGAGAGGTCTGCCAACTCTATATGTTAGCATTGGCTAATTCTACTTCTGAGTCCACCCCCATCGGCCCGGGGTGGTATTTCAAGCATGTCAGCGCACGTCATTTTGGCCACTTTTGAGCTGGGACCCACCCCCACTGGACCGGACATGGAGAGACCAGACAGAGAGAGACCAGACGGAGAGAGACCAGACAGAGAGGAAAGGCTGATGTTTTATTCCGTTTCTGTCCTCTTTGAACGTTGCTCTGTTTGTAGTCTCTCGTGGGACACCATCACCACCACCACTCGCAGAGCACGGACGACCTTCTCCATCACCATGACAACCATGAGGGACATGCGGAGGACAGCATGGACGGCGTGTGGAAGGGCCTGACCGCTCTGTCCGGGGTCTACATCATGTTCCTCATCGAACACTTCCTCACACTGGGCAAGATGTACAAGGACAAGAAGAACAAGGTAATGATGCAGCTGGAAGCGGAGCTTAAACCACGTCTAAAACCGACTGGCGTTTAAATGCTGTGTTCTGCATGTTGTTGTCAGATATCAACATTTAAAATAGCTAGAAACATGTTTATTTTAATATCCAAATAACTGTGGGATTTCTGTTGGTGCACAGAAAAAAGTGGAGCTTCCAGACAAAGCAGAGGAGCAGGCGGCTCTGAACGAGGACCTGCTCAAGAACCACGAGGGTGAGTCCTGCGCGCGGCCCTCACCACAATCACAGCCATGCTTTAGTCTTTTCAAATCCATCTGTGTTCTACAAATCTACAGTAAAGCCCTCACTTTAAAACGGTAAAATAAAAGTAGATGGATACTAGGGTTGGGCGATATTTTTTTTGTACCGGTATAAGTAAATTAAATGATAAGAAAATGCCTTATACCGGTGAAAACGATCATTTAACACTGAAAACAGCGAGTGGAAGACACGTTTGTGTGCGGCGCACTTTGATGACGCATCTGCGCAGCACGTGTAGCAGAGCGGCGTGCAGGGACAACAACAACAGAGCAGAGAGCAAACATGGCTGAGGGCGGCGGTGAAGACCATGGTGAAGACATGCAGATTGTAGACAATTGGCACAAGACATTGTGCCAAAACGCGGAGCTACCTCAAACATATGGGAGTAGTTTGGGAACTAGATAAAAAGAAGCAATTGTGTGTAACTATCGACAGTGGATCTAAAGCAGCTGCCCTAAACAACTGGACTCCAGTGGACTTGCAAAATTGTGCTCACGGTTTCCACTATTCCTGATCAAATCAAACTGAAGTTTACGTGCTTTAGATTTCACAGGTAGAGCCAATGCTCTGGCTACGTCACTTTCATTTCCATGTTTTCTAGTCAAATGACGGGACATTTTGTGGCAGGACATTGAACAGTAGAGGCAGAAGTGTCTCTTGCTGTAAACTCGCCCCCCATTTTTCTTCTTTTGCAGCTGCATGATAACAATCTTATTTGCCTTTGGTTCGTCACTTTCCGAGTCTTGAAGAAAAGTGTTTTTGATTTTTCTTTTTCCATACTTTTTTACAGGTTTCTTCTTGACAGTTAAATCGTCAGAATCTGAGTCGACTTCATCAATTAGGGACTCTTGACTAAGCTGCACAAACAACAAATAATTTGTAATCATTCTATATAACAATTTGAAGTCATGACTTGTAGTCAGCACTTACCAGTGGTTTGTAAGCGTGCGCTTCAGTGTGCTCCTCCATGATTTCTTGCAGCCTAATGAACCACACACTTGCACCTTTTTCTAGCCTGACACCTGATTTCCTCTGTTGTGCTGCTCCATGATTGGCTCCAGCCTGCTGGACTGAAATTGCCCCAGTGTGCCCCTCCTTGATATCCCGCAACCCACCACCAGGGTTCCGACACATAACACACTTTTTTCAGGAAAGTAAACCTCCAGGGGTCCTTTCCATATTTTTACAGAGACTGCATAAGGACCGTTAGAAAAGCATTACCCATTGATTATTAAGCTTGGACCAGTGGGGTCCGGTGTTCGGGCCCCACCACGTAAAACCAGTCCCCATGAGTGAGTGGAATCTCAGGTTATGGAACCCACCAGGAGTTGAAAACAAGTGCACACACACACACACACACACACACACACACACACACACAACAAATGCCAATACCAGCTGTGTAAACGAACAAAAGTTTTTATTTTAAGCCAAGTACACGCACTAAACTCTCAAATACTATAAATAATGGCCATATCTAACTACTACAACCATTGTTTTCAGCATTTATCTCTTTTTTTATATCTTTTATGAATAAATAGGAGTAAATATGAGTATGAATTTTGAATAGCTTTTTTTCTAAAAGGGGCGTGGTCACCAAATTCTCAAGTATGATCAATAACTACCATATCTAACTACTACAACCTTTGTTTTCAGCAGAAATATCTTTTTTATGATTAAATATGAGTATGAATTTTGAATAACTTTTTTTCAAAAAGGGGCGTGGTCACCAAATTCTCAAGTATGATCAATAACTACCATATCTAACTACTGCAACCTTTGTTTTCAGCAGAAATATCTTTTTTATATTTCTTATGATTAAATATGAGTATGAATTTTGAATAACTTTTTTTCAAAAAGGGGCGTGGTCACTAAATTCTCAGGTATGATCAATAACTAAGTATTTGGTCACTTCAAACAAGGAAGATCTCTGGCTCTCACAGACCTGTAATTTCTTCTTTAGGAAGCTCTTCTGTCCTCCACTCGTTACCTGTATTAATGGCACCTGTTTGAACTCGTTATCTGTATAAAAGATAGCCCAAATGTAGCCCACAAGGATATTTCAACCACTAATAATCTCCCTCGATCTGGGGCTCCATCTCGTGGGGTCAAAATGATCATGAGAACGGTGATCAAAAATCCCAGAACCACACGGGGGGACCTGGTGAATGACCTGCAGAGAGCTGGGACAAAAGTAACAAAGGTTACCATCAGTAACACACTACGACGACAGGGAATCAAATCCTGCAGTGCCAGATGTGTCCCCCTGCTGAAGCCAGTGTTGTTTGCCAGAGAGCACATGGATGATACAGCAGAGGATTGGGAGAATGGCATGTGGTCAGATGAAACCAAAGTAGAACTTTTGGTATAAACTCAACTCGTCGTGTTTGGAGGAAGAAGAATACTGAGTTGCATCCACCATACCTACAGTGAAGCATGGGGGTGGAAACATCATGCTTTGGGGCTGTTTTTCTGCTAAGGGGACAGGAACGACTGATCCGTGTTAAGGAAAGAATGAATAGGGCCATGTATTGTGAGATTTTGAGCCAAAACCTCCTTCCATTGACTTGAATTTGTGTTATTGACCAAATACTTATTTTCCACCATAATTTACAAATAGATTCTTTAAAAATACTACAATGTGAATTCCTGGATATTTTTTTCACATTCTGTCTCTCACAGTTGAAGTGTACCTATGATGAAAATTAAGACCTCTGTCATTATTTTAAGTGGAAGAACTTGCACAATCGGTGCTGGAGGAGAGCCCATCATGGGAGAACAAGCCCCTACACGGCATGTACCACCGAAGCATAACAGAAGTGGCTGATCTCAAGAAGTCTTACCAATGGCTAGAAAGGGCTGGCCTACAGGACAGCACAGAGGCACTCATCATGGCTGCACAGGAACAGGCACTGAGCACCAGAGCGATAGAGGCCCAGATATACCACACCAGACAAGACCCAAGGTGTCGGTTGTGCAAAGAGGGACCTGAGACGATCCAACACATAACTGCAGGGTGCAAGATGCTGGCAGGGAAGGCCAACATGGAACGCCATAACCAAGTGGCTGGCATAGTGTACAGAAACATCTGTGCAGAGTATGGGCTGGAAACTCCAAGGTCTAAGTGGGAAACTCCTCCAAAGGTGGTGGAGAATGAGCGTGTGAAGATCCTGTGGGACTTCCAGATACGGACTGACCGAATGCTAATGCCGAACAAACCTGACATCGTGGTGGTGGGCAGAGGACAGAGGACAGCCGTGGTGGTGGACGTCGCAATTCCAAGCGATGGTAACATCAGGAAAAAGGAATATGAAAAGCTTGAGAAATACCAAGGGCTCAGAGAGGAGCTGGAGAGGGCCAGGAGGGTAAAGGTGACAGTAGTGCCCGTGGTGATCGGTGCACTCGGGGCAGTGACCCCGAAGCTAGAGGAGTGGTTACAGCGGATCCCCGGAACAACCTCGGACATCTCGGTCCAGAATTGTTCAGTGCTAGGAACAGCAAAGAGGGCGAAAGGTGTGTGTGTGTTTATATATATATATATATATATATAAAGGGCTGTCAAACAATTAAAATTTTTAATTGAGTCAATTACAGCTTAAAACTTAATTAAGGAAAACGTAGGTACCCCAGCTTTAATTTAGACACGGGGGAGACGGACTGTTTCTTGCAGTTTTTAGTGTGGCGTGATCAGTGCACACAGTGGTCCTGTGCGCGGTCATTGTACACAGTCCTTATATTAATCAAAATTAAAATTAATATTAAATCCTATTTATTTATAAAAAATATAAAAAAGAAACAAATGCTGAAAACAAAGGTTGTAGTAGTTAGATATGGCAGTTATTGATCATACCTGAATATTTGGTGACCACGCCCCTTTTAGAAAAAGTTATTCAAAATTCATACTTATATTTAATCATAGAAAATATAAAAAAGAGACAATTGCTGAAAACAAAGGTTGTAGTAGTTAGACGTGTTAGTTATTTAACATACTTGAGAATTTGGTGACCACGCCCCTTTTAGAAAAAGTTATTCACAATTAATATTAATATTAAATAATATTTATTAATAAAAAATATAAAAAAGAGACAAATGCTGAAAACCATGGTTGTAGTAGTTAGATATGGCAGCTATTTATAGTATTTGAGAGTTTAGTGCGTGTACTTGGCTTAAAATAAAAACTATTGTTCGTTTACACAGCTGGTATTGGCATTTGTTGACGCTCCCTAAGTGCTTTTCTCGGCACTTGCGGCGCATTGGATTCAAAGGATTTCTCTGCATTAAAACAGCGCATTGGATTTGAAAAATCGATGTTGTAGTAGTTAGCCCATGTAGAGGTGATCATTTTGGCACAATTACTTTCGTTTAACAACGTAGCTTTCGTAAGATATTCACCGTGGAAGTCCGAATCTGTGAATATCAAGCTAACTTTACCGAACTTTCTACTGCTACTGTGAGGAGCTGTATAATAAATTATAATTAAATATTAGAATATATTCCAAAACATTTGTGTGTATGAACATTCCCAGAAGAGATGGCTAATCGATTCTTCAAAACCATGACAAAATGAGCAAAAAGGGTCAACATTTAAACAATAATGGATATTGCACCGTTAACAGGGTACCAGTGTAATATCCAATACCCGTTTGGTTTTACTTTTTCAAACTCATTGGACTAATTTCCAAATGGAGGCTTACGTATCTGCGCTCAAACTATTATCTGGACTTTAACATGAAACTGGTCTGAACTGAAGTGGTCTGTGGAGTTCATTTATAAAGTAAGGCCCATAACACACTGTTAAATGTGACGCAAAACATATTCCGCAGTTAGCAAACAAATATTGAATAATCCGCGGAGTAGGTCCTGTTGAAAATGTGTCAATCTGATTGGGACGAAGTCGGTGGCTCACAATCACCAAACTATTTGCATGTGTGCTTTTGGATCCAAAAGGTTATCCCCCCTCCCCCCATCCATCCCAATTTTTCTTTCAACATGCCCTAGGACACCGGGTCAGCCACACGTCCATGTCTGCCCGGTGTCGTGCTCCCACCACCGGCTAGGGCCCCAGTGAGTGCAGTGTGGATGCTTTGAGTACACATATATATGCTTTGAGTACATATATATGCTTTGAGCACACACATATTTGCTTTGAGCACACACATATATGCTTTGAGCACACATATATTTGCTTTGAGAACACATATGCTTTGAGTACACACATGTATTTGCTTCGAGCATATAATATTTGCTTCGAGTACACACATTTGTTTTGAGCATATACTATTTGCTTTGAGAACACATATATATGCTTTGAGAATACAATATTTGCTTTGAGCATTTAATATTTGCTTTGAGCGCTAAGCTTTGAGCGGTCTACGTATGGTCCGGAGCGACCCGGAGCGGAGTTGCCGGTGACAAATGGTGAGAGGGCTGCTACAGAGCCAGTGCGCGCTGTGCCGATGCTTTGAGTGGTATAAAATACTGATAAACTGTGCAAAATCCCGAGGTGTGGAGCCATGGGGCTGTAGGCAGTGAATAAATGACCGGAGCCGTGTCAATAGCTTGGAATACTGTTTGAGCGCTGGTCTCTGTGACGTCAGGACAGAGCGCTGTTTTGGTCACAACCCCCTCTCCTATTTTACCTGATATGACTTTATACTTGTATGTGTGTGTGTATACGCATGTGGTTGTATATATAATTATAAATGTGGTTTTGGGGGGGGTCTGTGGGGAGGAGGGTTTAGGGCTGGGCATGTTGGATTGTTTTTAACTAAACTGTAAAGCACTTTGTGTTACACTTTTTGTATGAAAAGCGCTTTATAAATAAAATTTGATTGATAATGAATCGAACGTAGCTTTTGCCCTTCAAGTTGTTTTTTAGGAGTCATCTTTAAAACGAAAAGTTGATTGTGCCAGATGGACGTGACCACTGTGAAAACTGCTAATAGGAAAATATTATCAACGAGAACCAGGTTGAGCAGTCTGCTATCAGGTCAGAAGAAGTCACATTATTGAATTATAGTCAGTCAATAATTAAACCGTAGTGAACACATTTTAAGAAAAGTCTTATTTATTTCGGTTTTATTGCACACACAAAGACTACTAGGGGAACAAGATATTTACAACTTGATATGAAACCAATTAAAAACAGCAGTTTCGAAACACAGATCCACAAGTCCTGTACAATTTAGCAACAAAACTTTGAAGCAAAAGATTAAAGGCAGTTTATTTACACTGGAAAAGAACAGTTCTCGGTCCGTAGGCAGGCGGCAGTGAGTGGTCAGGCTGTGATGGGCTCAGGTACCAGCGACAGTACATAGTCCTGCTCCTGCTGGAAGTCCTCTGGGACCCAGTGAGTGTGGCTGAGGGCATCAAACAGCTCCTCGCTCTGCTCCATGTACCTCCTGTTCTCCTCCTCGATGTCCAGAGGGGGGTCTGGGTCTGACCACAAAAAAAAAAAAAAAAAAAAAAACACTTCATTTAATACAACACATCATTAGGGAAAACATTTCCCTGTACACCAGAGAAGTTAAAGCTGGATTACCTCACTTCATTTTTGCATTCATTAGAAAAATGCAATCCATATCCATGGAGTGCATTGGGATATGCAGTGGGGCAAAAAGTATTTAGTCAGCCACCGATTGTGCAAGTTCTCCCACTTAAAATAATGACAGAGGTCTGTAATTTTCATCATAGGTACACTTCAACTGTGAGAGACAGAATGTGAAAAAAAAATCCAGGAATTCACATTGTAGGATTTGTAAAGAATTTATTTGTAAATTATGGTGGAAAATAAGTATTTGGTCAATAACAAAAATTAAACTCAATACTTTGTAATATAACCTTTGTTGGCAATAACAGGTCAAGCGAATACTATAGGTCTCTCGGGTATTTTGGCCCATTCCTCCATGCAGATCTTCGAGAGCAGTGATGTTTTGGGGCTGTTGCCGAGCAACACAGACTTTCAATTCCCTCCACAAATTTTCAATGGGGTCGAGGTCTGGAGACTGGCTAGGCCACTCCAGGAATTTCAAATGCTTCTTACGGAGCCATTCCTTCGTTGCCCGGGCGGTGTGTTTGGGATCATTGTTATGCTGGAAGACCCAGCCACGTTTCATCTTCAAAATCTCACGATACATGGCCCCATTCATTCTTTCCTTAACACGGATCAGTCGTCCTGTCCCTTTTGCAGATGCTTCACAGTAGGTATGGTGTTCTTGGGATGCAACTCTGTATTCTTCCTCCAAACACGACGAGTTGAGTTTATACCAAACAGTTCTACTTTGGTTTCATCTGATGACATGACATTCTCCCAATCCTCTGCTGTATCATCCATGTGCTCTCTGGCAAACTTTAGACGGGCCTGGACATGCACTGGCTTCAGCAGGGGGACAGGTCTGGCACTGCAGGATTTGATTCCCTGTCGTCGTAGTGTGTTACTGATGGTAACCTTTGTTACTTTGGTCCCAGCTCTCTGCAGGTCATTCACCAGGTCCCCCCGTGTGGTTCTGGGATTTTTGATTACCGTTCTCATGATCATTTTGACCCCACGGGATGAGATCTTGCGTGGAGCCCCAGATCGAGGGAGATTATCAGTGGTCTTGTACGTCTTCCATTTTCTGATAATTGTTCACACCAAGCTGCTTGCCTATTGTAGATTCACTCTTCCCAGTCTGGTGCAGGTCTCCAATTTTTTTCCTGGTGTCCTTCGACAGCTCTTTGGTCTTGGCCATAGTGGAGTTTGGAGTCTGACTGTTTGAGGCTGTGAACAGGTGTCTTTTATAAGATAACGAGTTCAAACAGGTGCCATTAACACAGGTAACGAGTGGAGGACAGAAGAACTTCTTAAAGAAGAAGTTACAGGTCTGTGAGAGCCAGAGATATTCCTTGTTTGAAGTGACCAAATACTTATTATCCACCATAATTTACAAATAAATTCTTTAAAAATCCTACAACGTGAATTCCTGGATTTTCTTTTCAAATTCTGTCTCTCACAGTTGAAGTGTACCTATGATGAAAATTACAAAACAGAAGATAATTTATTTCAGGACCAGATTGTGATCACAGCGGACCACTGACCCCCACTTTTTCGAGAACATCTACAGGTCTCTCGTTAGCGCGCACAGCTGAGGTAAACGAGCATCATGGCGGAGGCAAACCTGAAACTTCCCATGCCTTCGTTACCGGTTACTGCTTTTACAGCGAAACAGCCAAAAGAAAGTCCCTTCAAGAACAGAGAGAGGCTAAGCGTTTGAAGAACCGAGAGAGAGGCACCCGGGAAGCGCGGTTGACAAGACTAGCACTGGGGCAATCAAATGAGGAAATCCCCACTTCCCCCCGTTAGAGAGACACATTTTCTGTATAATGGACCATGCTAATTACCTAGCTCAATGAAGCGCTTTGCTCCAACTCGCCCTCACTCCTGTGGACTTACATCGAAAAAGTAAACTCTACCTCAGTAACCATTTTGTGTCACACTCAACATTTAGAGATTAATACATTTGGTTTAGCCTTTAGGTTTTGTAGGCTTTGGTAATCCTGATATGAGCCAAGGAGACAATTGACCAATTAGATGCAGTCCTTCGCAGAGGAAACTCAAACTTGCCTTAGCAACAGTCTTAGCAACACGTCTGGCCCCGCTTTGCTGCTACACTAACGGCGCGGAAGAAATGCTCACAGCTAGCTTTTGTTCCAATTGGCCTCCTCTGCATTAACACCAACACTATGTGCGACGTCAGTCCACTGGTGTAGTAAACAGAATAACTGGTGGTAAACGTTGCTTATTACCTTCAGTTCCGTCGTCCTCTGGGACAGCACCGTCCTCTGCAGCCATCTCTCCGTCCTGAAACACAGCTCTCATAAAGCTCTGGTGCCAAGATCAGTGCTACATGAGTGGTGAGCCCGCTTTGTACCTGCATGGCCATGTACTGGGAGTAGTCGTATCCGGGGTAGTATCCAAAGGCGTTCTGGTCGTAGCCCCAGGTGGTGGCGCTGGGGTAGCCGTAGCCGTAGGCACTGTACTGGTTGTAGGGGTCGTAGCTTTGGCTGTAGCCGCTCCAGGTTTTGGTGTCGGTTGACGTGCTGGACGTGGGCTGCGGTTGTTTGATCTTTAAGCTGCAAAGACATTCACGGAGCCCCTTAGTGAGTCAACAAACAGTTCACAAACATAGACAACATTTTTAAACACAAATTCTATTATCTACTATTTAAGAGTCCACAACAATACACGAGTGGAACCACTACTCTGAGTTATTTGAATTGTGCATCTTCTGCACCTGGTCTTTCTACCCCTCCACCCTTTTGAACACACCAGTACAGCACAGTGGCTGAGTGGATAGCACTCTTGCCTCTCAGCAAGAAGGTCCTGGGTTCGAATCCCGGTCAGACCAGGGCCTTTCTGAGTGGACTTTGCATTTTCTCCCTGTGTCTGCCTAGGTTTCCTCTGGGTACTCCGGTTTCCCCTACCACTAAAAATATGTACAATAGGTCTGGCATGCGCCTCCTGTTCGGCGACCCCGCTCCCATCTCTGTGTGGAGTGAGAGGACAAGTGCCCAAAAAATAACAATTGTAAACCGCTTTGTGACTGGTCTGTGAAAGGCGGTATATAAATGAAGATGACTTACTTACATATAGTACAGTATCCCTACATGAATGAAAACAAGTTAAAATAGACATCTGATGACTCAAGTGTCATTCAGGATCATTTGTTAAACTCTTGAATCCTTTTGGCGAGCTACTGGTAGCCCCTGAGCCACAGGTTGGAGACCCCTGATGAAGATACTGGATTGGTAGTTATTTTTTCCGGTCTTGTAGCAGCTTACTACATTAACACAGCAATTGTCACATTAAGGTGGCAGTTCATGCAATACCACAAACACTCATTTTCTTACTTGTTTGCAGCGAGGCTGAGTCTGAGAGCTTTACCCCCCAGACCCACAGCCCCCTGGCACTCGTCCAGCGCCCGCTTCTGCAGCCGTTCGTCTGGGAACTGCACAAAGCCACAGCCCCTGGGAACACACACACAGGTCAGCACCTCTCCTACAGTGTACACACACACACACATCAGCACCTCTCCTAGACCCTCATTTGTGAAACTTGCTCGCAGAGTTCATACAGGAAACGCAATTATCCTTTTAAAACTTGAATTCCCAGAGACCTGCTCTCTTGCCATCTCACACACACGTGTCCGTGGCATTCTGAGTGCGTTAACGCGATAATTTTGACAGCCCTAATAAATACGTTTGTATTCAGCCGCAGCATTCATGAAGGCCTGCAGGTGCGTAAGCTCGGATCTGGGCGGATTTCCCACGTTGGATCTCGCGTATTTTGAATCTACACCCAAAATGTAAACCTTTTTAGAGCCCTGCACGGGCCCCAGCCCGGCCTGGTTTCAGAATGGACAGACCCAAAACCCGCATCAAGCCCAACTTTTTTTTTTGACCTCCCATAACAATGTTTTAGCGTAGTATATAGTGCCGCGCACTGATATGAACACAGGCTTGGCTAGAGGGCGGAGTTACACATGGTAGTGATGTGTTGCAATGAGTTCTGTGTGTGCGGAGTGAACAGCCGCAGCTGTATGACGCCCAGATGCCGCAACACACTTGTAAGTAACGATATGTGTCGTCAATGACAACACTACACAGAACAACAAACACTACAGCGTGATAGAGCGCTATATTCAGTGGGTGCGTTCGTAAATGTAATCTGCCGCTCTGAAAGTGCGCGAGCCCGAGCCCGGCCTGTGTCCGAGGGCATTATACGGTCATCGGCCCGAAGCCCGGCCCTCGGGCCAAGGGCTCAAGTGCAGGGCTCTAAACCTTTTTCTGCGGAAGTTTCATACATGAGGGACACACACACACATCAGCACCTTTCCTACAGTGCGCACACACACTCTGGTGCTACTCACTTGGAGTTACCCAGATGGTCCAGCACCACCTTCCCCCCACGGCACTGGGGGTAGCGGTTGTAGAAGTACTCGTACAACATGCCGTCGTCCACCTCCGGAGTGAGGTCCCCCACGAACAGAGAGAACATGGGACTGCAACACACACAGAAGCACATCTGATAAAGCTGGGGTACCTCACATTTATAGATCAGAATCTGTCCGGAATTTGCGGGTATGTTCACCACATTACCCGGTCTCTTGCTTTCCGAAGGTGGCTCTGTTCAACTTAAACCTTGTTGGCTGAAAAAAGATATACATTTTTTTTTATTTGACTTCCATAAAGGAACTCCAAACTGATGCTGTGTATGTGTGCACTGACCGGGTTGGCTCCAGGGAGGGGCTTGCCGTTGATTTTGCGCAGACACCTCTCTGCGGTCCCCTCGTCGGTCATCTCCACAAAGCAGTACCCCAGGGCGCCACTTTAATCACAAAACAGAGGCAGTAGTTGTAAAGGGCGTCTTTGACTGGGGACATTTTAAAAATTAATTTTGGAGGGAATGCTTTAGATTTCATAAAGGACAGAACACGGCTATGTCCATGCAGACACTTTGACTCTCTCCAAAACTTTTAAATACAAAAAAAGCCTATTGACTCACAGACCGCTTTCTTACAAACAAACAGTGGTGGAAATGTATATCAAAAATAATAACCAATAAAAGTAACTATTACTGGTACTAGTACTTATCCTGCCCTATATGTCCATAACTTAGAACTAATTTATATATACAGTGCCTTGCGAAAGTATTAATGTATATTATATATAAAACATTTTGCCACATTTCAGGCTTCAAACATAAAGATATAAAATTTAATTTTTTTGTCATGAATCAACAACAAGTGGGACACAAATCGTGAAGTGGAACGAAATTTATTGGATTATTTAAACTTAAACAAAAAACTGAAAAGTGGGGCGTGCAATATTATTCGGCCCCTTTACTTTCAGTGCAGCAAACTCAGTCCAGAAGTTCAGTGAGGATCTTTGAATGATCCAATGTTGTCCTAAATGACTGATGATGATAAATAGAATGCACCTGTGTGTAATCAAGTCTCCGTATAAATGCACCTGCTCTTTGATAGTCTCAGGGTTCTGTTTAAAGCGCAGAGAGAACCATGAAGACAAAGGAACACACCGGGCAGGTCCGAGATACTGTTGGAGAAGTTTAAAGAGTGGCAAGAAGAACGCCATTTCTCAAAGATATCCATAAAAGGTCTTGTTTAAAGTTTGCCACAAGCCACCTGGGAGACACACCAAACATGTGGAAGAAGGTGCTCTGGGTCAGATGAAACCAAAATCGAACTTTTTGGCCACAATGCAAAACGATATGTTTGGCGTAAAAGCAACACAGCTCATCACCCTGAACACACCATCCCCACTGTCAAACATGGGGGTGGCAGCATCATGGTTTGGGCCTGCTTTTCTTCAGCAGGGACAGGGAAGATGGCTAAAATTGACGGGAAGATGGATGGAGCCAAATACAGGACCATTCTAGAAGAAAACCTGTTGGAGTCTGCAAAAGACCTGAGACTGGGACGGAGATTTATCTTCCAACAGGACAACGATCCAAAACATAAAGCCAAATCTACAAATGGAATGGTTCACAAATAGACGTATCCAGGTGTTAGAATGGCCAAGTCAAAGTCCAGACCTGAATCCAATCCAGAATCTGTGGAAAGAGCTGAAGACTGCTTCACAAACGCTCTCCATCCAACCTCACTGAGCTCGAGCTGTTTTGCAAGGAAGAATGGGGAAGAATTCCAGTCTCTCGATGTGCAAAACTGATAGACATACCCCAAGCGACTTGCAGCTGTAATTGCAGCAAAAGGTGGCGCTACAAAGTATTAGCGCAAGGGGGCCGAATAATATTGCACGCCCCACTTTTCAGTTTTTTATTTGTTAAAAAAGTTTAAATTATCCAATAAATTTCGTTCCACTTGTTGTTGATTCTTGACAACTCTGGGAATTCAAGTTTTGAAAGAATACACGCGTGACCGCGGAGCACTTGTAGTTTCCTGTATGAACTCTGCATGATGAGCTGCGGGCGCGACAGCGCTCTGGACAGCAGCACCACTTCCAGCGGCTGTGATCACGGCGAACGGCGCTGCGTAATGGGATCATATCCAAGACCACGCACAGAACTATTACAGAACTATTCTCTAGCGTGCGTGCGTACGTGTCTTTGCGTAACCGACGCACACAATATGTACAGCGCTAAAGCTGGACTACGGAGTCTCAGTCTCCTCCGCGTCTTCTCCCGAAGCGCACTCGCTACATTAAAGCTGAGGTATCTAATTTTCCTTTCGACCATCAGTTCATGTTAGTTGTGCCAAAAAAAGTAATGGTGTGAGCAAATCAAACAGATTTAATGACATTCTGCATTTCAGACCATTTTGAAATGTCCCTCACCTGTAACAAACAATGGTTTTGGTCTGAGTCTGAACAGAAAGACAGAATGTTAATAATGTTAATTCCATTTTATATGGATTTATTGTTATAACAAACAAATACAGTACATATGTTCACTAAGCTGTCATTTATCTTTCCATTCAAACAACAATTTACAGAAAAATATGGCATAATTTTGCCAACAGTTTGAAATGCGATTAATTACGATTAATCAGAATCATTTTTTTTTTTTTTTCTTTCATAATAATATTTTATTTGCTTTTAACATTATAAAACAGACAGACATTGACAACACCACTGAGCAGACCACCACAAATCAAAACAAAATACACAATTATAAGTCGTTGCAATATGTTACACTGGCATCCTTTAAAAAAATAAAATAAAAATCACAGAAAAAAAAAAAATATATATATATATACCTTTCAACCAGTGTCCATATGAAATAAAATTGAAAATAAAAGTAAAATTTAGCTTAAAGTACCTGACCCTCTCATAATAGTAAGCTTCAGATAAGAAGGCAAATGATTTATAAGAGGCTGCCATGTTTCAGTGAACAGTGAACACTATCTCCCTTCAGCACTGATTCTTTCCATAGGAAGCACATTACTGTCTTTTTCGCTTCTGAATATATTTGCTAGTCTGTATCGCAAAAGCTTTAACTTTAAATTTAAACCACTCCCATTTGCTGACTGCAGACATATCCAAAGTATCAACCTCCAAAATTAATTTTCTAACTTTTTTATCAAAATAGGAATCATTTAAAAGACTATTATTCAATTTCCAAGTGGAGTACATTCCATGTTGTTCCTGCAAAAACACGAAGGACAATGTGATGACACAGTGATCAGTGAGAGGTGAAGCTGAAATCGAACACTCTTCAAAGAAGTTAACCAAAGGCACTGAAACAAGCCATAAGTCTATTCTAGAGCTTTGGCCATTTCCAGATGTATTAAACCATGTAAATGCTGATGTTTGAGGATTTTTTACCCTCCGATAGTCGACCAGATTAGCATTATTCATAAAATGGAGAATAAGGTCATCATATTTGTGACATAATGCTCTTGGGGGGTTTCGATCAAACCACAAATCTGGAGCCAAGTTAAAGTCACCTCCTATAATTATTTTATCAGTCGAGTAAGATTGCTTGAATTTCGAAATTTGATTATAAAGTTCCTGTAATAAACACTTATTTTTACTCCTTTCATTGTATCCATAAATGCAAACCAAAATATATTTATCATCATTGATATCTGCTATTACTACAAGCCAGTGTCCATTAAAATCTGCAATATGCTCTATGACCTTACCTGGAAATCTATTCAACAGAACCATTACACCTGCAGAGTGTGAAGTCCCGTGACTAACAAAAATAGTATCACCCCACTGTAATTTCCAAAATGTCACATCCTCCTCTGTAGAATGAGTTTCTTGTAAAAACACGCAATTAGCCTTTTGCTCCTTACAAAACAAAAACACAGCCTTTCTTTTAACATTATTTTTAAGCCCCCTAGCGTTTAAAGAATTACAAGAAAATATACCTGAGAATATATGTAAAGCGCAAGAACAAAAGATGCGCAGGAATGAGAATGTGTAGTCCTTAGTCAAAACAATGAAGTGCATTAACACTAGCAGATTAGGAATGGAGAATCTGTAGCTCAGACCATTATGGTGGGTCCACTCGTTGGTTGTTAATCAGCGTATAGCCCTCTTTCAAAAACGCCCTCTGCCCTCTTCTTCTTGCATCCTGGACGAGTGGCCACAGCTTGGCGCGCGCTGCTCTGTCTTCACGGGAAAAGTCCTCTTTGAGGTGTATGTGGAGCTCTCTGCACACCGGAGCATCTCTGGACCTCTTCCATACGTCATCCCGGACCGTTCTAGTCACAAATTGTATGATTATGGACCGAGGCTGATTATTAGATGTTGCTGCATTGGCCCTTTTTCCCAGCCTGTGAACCGTGTCCACAGTGTCACGGAGCCGATCCACAGACAGGGGCACGACTCTGGTCAGAATCCCAATCACACGTTCTCTTGTGTCTTCTCCATCTTTCTCAGGCAAACCATTCATTCTCAAATTCCACCTTCTTTTGTACCGGGCATGTTCAGCAACCTCTTCCTTCAAACTCTTGTTTTCACCTTTGAGCTCACTCACCTCATGTTGCAGTATGGTAATTGCAGCCTGGTTCACTTTAATGTCTCTTGTGTTGGCCTCAATCCTCTCTTCAAACTTTCGTAGCAGCTCTCAGTTTAGGTGTCAAGTTTGCCCGTGTTACTTTTCTTCCCCTGCCCAGTGATCTCTTAACCGTAGTACAGAGGCTGAACAGGCGTAGTACTCGTTAGACGTATTTTTATTCCAAAAATAGAACAGGAGCATGACAGAGGAGCCTTAATGAAGAGAGGCCAATGCAGAACAGAGCGTTGAGCGCGTAAACAACGGACTACACAGACCCAAGACATCGCACAATGCACCGCTCTTAAAGGGCCAGGCTTGGCCTATTACACTACCCCCACTATGGATGATAAATAAAAACTTTTATATCACTCCAGCACAAAATAATGCACATTATGAAATTATAATCAAACACTCCACCCTAGTGGTAATGTTCCAAGCCCACAGTCTTTGCAAACCATAGTCAAGTACTGAAACCTCATGTACATCGCTTGGAGGAGTCCAGGTAGAAAGGTAGGTATGGGGTGAAGTGCATAGCTCAAATTGGAATGTCCTGCCTTAGCTCAGCTCATAAAATCCCCATTTAAACAGTCATTACTCCTTTAACCTGCAAGGCACTTGTATATATAAACTCAATGTGCACACATAACCGACAAACAGTGCAAAAATGGCATGTACTAAACAACATGTAGTAAGCCTCCAACATTTTTAACACAACAGTAAACCATTTTATTTATCTACTCCGATTAGGCAGGAATCTGACTCGGGGATAAAACACTTGTTGCAGAGACTAGTGACTAAGCCAGTCACCAAACTT